TCGAGTTGTCAATTCCTGCTCGTTCAAGAGTATGTGAGACTTTTGAACACGTGGTGTGAGTGGAATAGCGCCTCCAGGAAGTTTATCCTGGCCGTTGCATTATTAGAAATGGGAGAGGTGCAAAAGGCGTGCGACAATTTCCTTCGTGCTTCCAACGGAATTTTGACCGATGTGTTTTTGGTGGACGCTTTACTCAACTCTAACGTAACATCGAGAAACAGGGATTTGGTCCATTATTATCTAAAGGTTATCAAGTTGTTCGAGGAGCACAACGCGTCTGATTGTATCATAGAGATTGCCGAGACGGCTATAGCGACCGCCGACGCGGACGATCCGAATTTGCCGACCCTTCACTCGATAGTATTCGCGCAACACCTGGGTTTGGGTCACCACGCGGAAGCTTACCACTATTTGAACGCAAATCCGGACGCCGCTCGAAGAGTGGACTGTTTACGGCAACTGGTCGTAACGTTATTCGAGAAAAAATTGTTGATAGACTTAATTTCCTTCCCCTACGTCGACATGTATGAGGATCTCGAGAGAATAGTAGAGGGCAGAGCCAGAAGCGTCGATCTTATGGAGAATAATTATTATAACTTTCTGTATAGTTTTCACGTCAATAAGCAAAACATGCGGAAAGGTAAGTTTTTGTAACTTGAAGCATCTAATTGTCTGAGTAGATTGTTATACTTGTATACAGGGTGTTTCAGACCACTCGTACCACCTATTTAAAAACTAGAGAAGTGGTTATTTCAAAAAAGTAAAAACGTTTTCTTTATAAATCGAGTGCGCTCTATCGAATGCTGATATTTTCAACTTCTGGTTCCGGTCGGAAATAGGCGATTCAGACCAGAAGTGCATTTTTTAAATGGAACTGCCTATTTTTCATTGCATATTGTTTTGGCTTACCTCGAGAGCTTTCCAAAACACTATAAATTATTTTTCCATGCAGTACTTTTCGAGTTATGAGGCTTGAAATAATTTCTTAATTTTACATAAACCGTAAAATATCTTGTAAAATATTCATTTTTCGATTATCTTACCTTAATACTTTTATGTACAAAATAATGAGAGGAATCAATTGGTGTAAAGAAAACATACAGTTGTTTTAAGAAAAAATATGGAATTGTTAATTGCAAATTACATATTTTTTCTTAGAAACAACTATGTGTTTTTCAACACTAATTGATTCCTCTCATTATTTGGTACAAGTATTAAGATAAGATAATCGAAAAATGAATATTTTACAAGATATTTTATGGTTTATGTAAAATTAAGAAATGATTTCAAGCTTCATAACTCGAAAAATATTTGATGGAAAAATAATTTATTATAGTGTTTTGGAAAGCTCTTGAGGTAAGCTACAAGAATATGCAATGAAAAATAGGGAATTCCATTAAAAAATGCACTTCCGGTCTGAATCGCCTATTTCCGGCCGGAACCAGAAATTGAAAATATCACCATTCGATAGAGCGCACCCGATTTATAAGGAAAATGTTTTTATTTTTTTGAAATAATTACTTCTCTAGTTTTTAAATGGGTGGTACGGGTGGTCTGAAACACCCTGTATATCTTACTGTATTTTTATAGCCGCATCCGTAATGTACGAGCAAGCTATGCGTTTAAGTCAGGAACCTCATTCCGCGCCGATCATAGCGAAGCAAGCGCAATGTTTACTGGCGTGTATCAATGCCTTGCATCATGTAAGCGAAAAGTATAGATGGATCGTAAGACCTGTCGATCAGAATCTCTCCGGCGAGCTCAACTCGAGCGCGCAAAAGAAGAGAAACATAGATGGAAAAGAGATCTTGCATTACAAGATAAAGAAGCAGGTCGAGGTCCTTGAATTGGAAGATATCAAGAAAGAGTATTATATAGTGGACGCGAGATTGAAGATATCGAAAGCCAGTTCGGACATGCACATAGTCGCACATACTGGTAAGCATCTCTTGATTATAATTTATTTTTATGAAGAAACGAAGCCTCGAGATTAATCTTGAAAATATCTCTATACGTTTACAGAACCATCCGAGCTGATCATCACTTTGTGCAGTACCGGTTTGTACACAACGGCGCTACACTTGTGCGACGAATTTAAAATTAGCAAAGCCTCTGTACTCGAAAGTTTAACTTCTCAATGCATCAAGTTGAGTCAACGCGAGGATCCAAATGCCTGGGACTGGTTAATACAAAATGATATATTTGGTACGCATTAGTTAATAATTTAGTATTAGTATATTATTATCAGGGTTGGTAAAAAACTTGTTTTTTTTTTTATTTTAAACAAAAAACGTTTTTTTTTTGTGTAGAACAATGTTTTTTTATTTGTGTTTTTAAGTAACGCAAAAAAACATGTTTTAAACAAGCAAAAAACACTTAATAGCTTTGATCGGTGTAAATATTTAAATTTTTCGCTAGCATTAAACTGTAAATAACGTTGCCAAAATTGACAACGCTATTAAAAATATAAATAATGAAATAAAAATGATAAGATAGGTATTATTTTAGCAGAATATTTATTTTTGGATATTAAATAACAATCAATACAATAAAGCTTACTTTTAAGCTACATTTTATTTTAGCATTTTAAATTAATAGTATATAACTCATAACAGGTCAGTAGTTCTAAAAAAAAGTTCTAGTTAATAATATTTAATATATAATACTTTGGTTCTTTTCCTATTCTTATTAAGTAACCTCATGCTTAACTCTCAACATAAATTTTAAATAAAAAAAAAGAAAAATAAAAAAACCTCAATTCTTCTTTTTAAAAGAAGAACTTTTTTAGAATTACTGATCTGCTATGAGTTATGTACTATTAATTTAAAATGTTAAAATGTAAAATGTAAAGTCAGTCAATATCTTCTAAGTAATCTTTACTATATTGATTGTTATTTAATATCCAAAAATAAATATTCTGCTAAAATAATATCCATCTTATCATTTTTATTTTATTATTTATATTTTTATATCTATATGTTACATAAATATAGATAAAAAACTAAAAACAGTAAAACAAAAACTTTTTTGCAACATACACATCTATTAGTTTTTGTTTGTTTTTTTTTTACAATTTCTTTTCCAAATAATCATATATTTTATTTGCGATATTTTAAACGGTTCTAAACAGTAGTTTAAAACAGTTTAAAACAAAAATGTTTAAAACAGTGTCCACTGTTTTAAACAAGTTTTAATGAAACAGTTTTAAACACATTGTTTAAAACATGCCAACCCTGATTATTATTGTGTAGATTTTTTTCTACGAAAGCGCTTTATGATAATTGATATTCTTCTCTAGATATTGGAATATCTAATACAACTATTGCGAATACCGCTTGGAGATTATTAGAGTACTTTGTGTTGAAGCATGAAAAAGATGACAATAGTGAATTACACAAGGCCGTTGCGCGCAAATTATTGCAGGATGGAGCCTTTCTACCGCAATGGTTATTGATATCGTATAAAGTAAATAATGAAAAAGTTTTCTTTGGGTTTTCTCTATTTCCTTTATTTAAAAAAAAAATATATATATATATATTTAAATAATAAATATATTATATATATTTAAATATATACAGGGTGTCAATTAAGTCCCGGGACGGCTGAATATTTTCTCATGTAAGATATTTTTGAAAAAGGTCAAGGTCATTTCTGAAGTAATTTTCAACGAGGAATTCAACGGTGACCTTCAATTTGACCTTGAGCTTGACCTTCAAGGTTATTTGAAGGTCAAAGTGTTTTTTTTAAATAGGAACCCCTATTTTTGATTGTATATTCTTATAGCTGACCTCGAGAGCTTTCCAAAACACTATAATAAAATATTTTTCCCTCAAGCATTTATCGAGTTATGATGCTTCAAATCATTTCTTAATTTTACATAAACCGTAAAATATCTTGTAAAATATTCACTTTTCGATTATTTTACCTTAATACTTTTATGTACAAAATAATGAGAGGAATCAATTGGTGTAAAGAAAAGACATAGTTATTTTTAAGAAAAAATATGTAATTGTTAATTGCAAATTATATATTTTTTTTCGAAACAACTATATGTTTTCTTTACGCCAATTGATTCCTCTCATTATTTTGTACATAAAAGTATTAAGGTAAAATAATCGAAAAGTGAATATTTTACAAGATATTTTACGGTTTATGTAAAATTAAGAAATGATTTGAAGCATCATAACTCGATAAATGCTTGAGGGAAAAATATTTTATTATAGTGTTTTGGAAAGCTCTCGAGGTCAGCTATAAGAATATACAATTAAAAATAGGGGTTCCTATTTAAAAAAAACACTTTGACCTTCAAATAACCTTGAAGGTCAAGCTCAAGGTCAAATTGAAGGTCACCGTTGAATTCCTCGTTGAAAATTACTTCAGAAATGACCTTGACCTTTTTCAAAAATACCTTACATGAGAAAATATTCAGCCGTCCCGGGACTTAATTGACACCCTGTATATATATATATATATATATATATATATATATATATATATATTTTATAAAAATATATTTATAAAATATATTTATAAAAAAATATAAGATCCACATAAATGTTGCAGAAACGCAACGCTTCGGAGCTTCTTCGTCTCATGTTAAATACCGGCCGATTAGTGGAAGCTAGCGAGTTGGCTGTAGATTATATTAATGCGGCATTAGGTAGCGGAAAGGAACACTTTGGTTTTGAGACACCATTGGTGGCTACTGCGCCATCAACCTGGTTGCCGCTTAATACCATCGAAGTATTGTTAAATGAATTAGAATACTTAAGTAAAGACTCCACTTATATAGAGGTACGAAAAAATTTTTTCTAAAGTTAACATCTATTAATACCATGATAACAAGTCGCAATTTAATACATATGCTTCAATTTATATTTTAGAGCTACGATAGATTAAATTCTACGCTGGAGAAATACTTAGAAACAGCGGAACGCGTTTCCGAAGATATGATTAAAATGAGAACGATGAGGGAACACTCCTAGTAGTAAGTAATGTATGTATTTATTTAATGTATACAATTGTTATAAAATTCGATCAGTTCTATACTCTCAAAGTTTAATGTATATAAAAGAGAAAAAAATTATTAAATATAACAGTCGGTAATTATTTGGCTTCAATATTAAGTATAAATTGGCTCATGATTAAGTGACACTAAAGCTGTCAATATGACAATGATGGCAAGGATTGCGGCAACAATCGCGGCTACCGTATGTGGACATCGTTTGAACAATACCTACAATCACCATTTGAAATTTTTCAATTTCGATTTCAATTTCAATTTGTATGCTGGATAAAGAGCGAGAAAGAAATAGTTTGATATCTCTTAAATCAAATAAATTTGTAGACGTTACCATTAGCATGATCTTAAATCAAATAAATTTGTAGACATTACCATTAGCAAAACAACTACTCCAAGAATGAAAATCGATCCGACTGGTAAGAAAAAAGATGCGGTCCAATAATGCCTCGACATTTCAGGATCTATAAAGTAAAATTATGTTGCGTTAAATTTAATTTAAAACAGTCCTACAAATAAATGGGCATCCCATTTTTTATTTTTATAAAATAAAACAAGACTTACACACCTATACGCCAATTTTGATGAAATCTGTTGTAGAGGGGAAACGGAAATTTTGTTATAATATTTTTGTTTCTTTCAATTACAGAATTGGACATGTTCTGTGTATGTATCGTTTGCATACCATCACCCTTCAACTGGTCTCCTGCGATGTACATATTATCCATTTATGTTATTAGTACAACGACTGAAACAGAGTATCGAAAAATCGTCATTTGCAGTTTTTGAAATTAATTTTGATTTTGTACATTTGTTGAATGTGAATTTTCCACTATATGATAAGGGAATTTGTTTGTATAATGATTTAAAGTGCCAAGAAAAATGAATTGTAGTACACTTTATCTTGTTGGAATACAGTTTATGGTAAGGATGCTTTGTTGAATGTCAAGTATTTTTGTTAGTTTTAAGTTATTGTTATATATATATATATATATATATATATATATATATATATATATATATATACTTCAACATCTCACAATTTACTCTCTAAAGAGATTATTTTTCAAAGATTATTTTTTCTTATATGGTAAGATTAGATACCACTGCCAAGTTTTAATTGATACTGCAACCTTACCATTTCTGTAATCTAACAATTTAATGTGCTGTCGTGAAAGATTGTTACTGATTCTTTCTGATTATTTTCAATTATTAGTATTATATATATATATGACATTATACAGAATGATTTCTTCCAATTTTACATTAAACTCAAACCAATAAACAATTTGATTGTTTATTGAATGTTGAGAACAATAATGTAACTATGCGTTTATATAAACTACTAGTGTTTTTACTCGTGATTTTTATTTATAAATCCTATCGCATACTGATTAAACCGAAAGAGTGAAACTATTGTAAGAATGAAATAGGACAGAGTCGCCTGCTAACTTTCAGGAAAAATTGCATCGTATAAAATCCATTTGTAATTAAGCATGAAAATAAAAAACATATGTTTTGTATCTCAAATTTTATCCCCTTCGCTCATGATATAATGACATATATATGATTTCGCATAGTCAACAATCTACACAAAAAGGAATTTCTTATAAAATTCAATGAGAATCTTGCATCATAATAATCTACATATTTAATCAGCGAGAAAGAATGGGTCTAATCCGACTGGCTATCAACAGGTGAAAATGAGTAGAAAATAAGAAATAATTGTAAAACAATTTTCAAAGAGAGAGAAGAAAAATATTCTGCTCTTTTAAGAAGAGATTCAAAATTCAAAAAAATAGCATCTAGACAGAAGACACGTATGTGATGCTGAAGCACGTTCGACCTGCCCTGTCCGCGGGTGGCAACGAACTGTTACAACCGGTAACACGATATATAGAGAGTTCCACTTCCACAGGACACAGAGATACTCACTTGGAAGCATTCTTGCAGACTGATTATTAGTATCATTATTATCACTGCTCGGAGAATTCATCGCACAAGCACATCCTATTTACGCTGGAAACCAAACCAGGACTGAATTAATCGTGGAAACGTCTCCCTTTATACTTGTGTGTCGTACGTGTACGCATTAGTATGCATTGTCGAGCAAATGGAGATAAATAACAAGTTGAAAGTTCAATCGCTAGCAATTGCAATTGATTAAAAAAAAAAAAAAAATTCAGCCTTCGACTTTAACAATTTTAAATTGAACAACTTAAATACGTTTTTTTTTTTTTTTTAATTAAAATATATTACTTTTTTCGTTTCAGTCGCTCTTATCTGCGAGAAAAGAAGAGGAGGGGAGGAAAAAGGGGGCTTAAAGCACAGCCATAATTTGCGATACAATCGTCGTTTCGAGGAGACATTTACTGGAGACGCGTTGGAAGCTATCGAAAGGAAAAGGAGCCATCTGATCGAGTCGCCTCCAATGATCTCCGACCAGCGGATGACGGGCTCGTCGTCCAGAATGCGCGGCACTCGACGTGATATGGCGGCGTGTTAGAGAGAGAGAAAAAAACCCGGCGGCTGTGCTTTGTTGACATTTCGTATGCGGAATCTCTCGGCGGAGAATGATTAAGATATCGGCGCTGAACGAGGAGTCGAGCGAGGAGAGCGAGGAGGAGGATGTGCCTACCATCACGAAGGAGGCGCAAGTATGAGAGAGATGTTTACGGTCTGTTTACATCGCCCATAACCTCGAGCAGTAGCCTCGCCAACGTTTCGTGTCGCATTCTTGTTCCTTAAAAGAAAAATTAAAAGGAAAGTTTTCACTTTTCTCACATATTTTTATATGAAACTTGCTCGTTCAGGGTCCACTGATCAGTATTTAAAGAGAAAAAATTGATTGGCAACCTAGTGCTTAGGGATCTGTATCTGTCTCTCGCATTTGATACACATCATTTGTACTTTTAATCCTTGGATAGGCTCTTTTAATATTGAAAAGGATGTACAATTTATTGAAGATAGAATATATACATTTATTAATATTTATAATAAAATTATATGATGACAGATACGAGAACGTTGGATTAAATTAAGAATAGGAAATGTATACTTGATGCTTACATTAAAACAGCGATTTTTTCCAGGAACAAATAGCGCTGACGGAATACAATAAAGCCTTGGACTTGTTGAAGAAGGATAAGCAAGAAGAGGCGCTAGTTATTTTTAAGGATCTTTTGGAGACTGAATTGCTAGATGAGGTGGAGAAGCCCGAAGTGCCGGATGGCAGGTCAAGACCAATGTTGTCCTTGAAATATTCCTGCTTCAAGAATGTCGGCGCTATTCAAACGGCTTGTGGAAATTACAAGGATGCTGTGGAGAATTATTGGGAAGCCGCAAACTTGGATGATTCTGATGTAATGCTATGGTATAGGATTGGCACGTTAGCCATGAAGATTTCTAATTTAGAATTAGCCTGTTCGTCCTTCAAGCAGGGCTTAAAGTGCAATTCCAATCACTGGCCATGCTTGGATAATCTAATAACTGCCTTATATGCCGTTCCTGATTACATGAACTGTCTGTTATATATTTCTGTGGCTTTGGAGATGGATTCTAATTATGTGAAGGGTCTGGCATTCCGCGATAGGATATTTAAAGACATTCCATGCATGGAAGATTGTTATAAATTATACAACAGCGATTGGCAATTGGATCCACCTCTGGATACCGAGTACGATCATGTATTGGGTGACAAGTTATTAGCAGAGGCGAGAGAGGTTTCTGTAAAGTGGGCAGAGGTTTGTAAAGCAGAGTTTATGCCAAAACCGTTGCCAGAATTGACTTTGAGAATGCCTTTAACGAATTACACATGGTTGGCTCTCGGAGAGAGTCTACTAGACATGCACAGGTATGTCGCTGAGAATGATTTAAACTTTGTCAGTAGAATTATATTATCGGTTCGAAAGCCCGACGACAAGGGTGCAGCAGTGAGTAAAGAGTGCGAGATTGAAGAAACTAGTGTTATGGAAATAGATCGGCAGAATGTGAATGATCCAACTCCGAATGAGGAAAATGACGTCGGCAAATCTGTCAAGATCGAAAGATTGGAAGATTGCGAGATATCGGACGACAATCAGGCCTTCAACGCAGCCTCGGATATCGCGATGGAGGTTGAAACAGAAGACGACAAAAAATCTTGTTCGACCGACGTGCAAATAATCGAGGATGAAGACCCACTGAGAATGTCCGATACGGACGGTTTGCAATGTGAGGAGCAGAGCGAAACGAAAAACGTGGATTCGGAGGAGCAGATGCATTCCGAAACGGACGTGAATATTGATAAGTTGGAGAGCGACAAAGTCACAGACGATGTCTACAGCACGGATAATGGGGCACCCAATGAAAAATCTAGCGACAAGGAGAGCGATAAATCGAGCGACGATAAGGTTTCTGAGAAGGGCGCCGAGAAAGCGAGCGACGCGATGCACAAGGCAGACGATAAAACTCACTCTGAGAAAACTGACGGGAAGGAAGAGGGACAGAAGGTGAAGAAAAGGCGCAGAAGCGCGCTGTGCTTTCTGCAACAATGGGCCTGGAGTTGCAGCAGCATGAGACGATCCGCGAGAGTCAGAGGCTCAAACAGACGGGAAGCAGAGAGAGACGATGTCCAATTGGAAGAAACACTTAGAAGATTGTTCCCTAGTACTCTGTTGTACGTATACAGTGCCAAACAAAAGTTCCGGGACGGTCGAATATTTCATAAACTATGCATTTTAGAAAGAAACGTTTCAGACAAAAGTTGTACGGCTTGAAGGGGGCCATAAGATGGTGTCATTGGTTTGGCCTTGAAAAGTCATTTGAAGGTCACGTGAAGGTCCACCTTCAATTTTTTAAATAGAACTCCCTATTTTTTATTACTTATTCTTCTAACTTATCTCTAGAGAACTCCCTATTTTTTATTACTTATTCTTTTAACTTATTCTTCTAACTTATCTCTACTTTCCACTATAATAAAGTATTTCTTCATTGAGTATTTTTCGAGTTGAGGCTTGAAATAATTTCTTAATTTTACATAAACCATATAATATCTAGTAAAATATTCATTTTTCGAATATCGTACCTTATACTTTTATGTACAAAATAATAAGAGGATCAATTGGTGTAAGGAAAACACATAGTTGTTTTTCAGAAAAAATATGTAATTGTTAATTGCAAATTACAAATTTTTTCTTCGAAACAATTATGTGTTTTCTTTACACCAATTGATTCCTCTCATTATTTTGTACATAAAAGTATTAAGGTGAGGTAATCGAAAAATGAATATTTGACATTTTACGGTTTATGTAAAATTAAGAAATGATTTCAAGCCTCATAACTCAGAAAGTACTTAATGAAAACTAACTTAATTGTAGTGTTTTGGAAAGCTCTCGACGTGAACTATCAGAATATTCAATAAAAAATAGATAGTTCCATTTAAAAAATTGAAAGTGACCCTCACGTGACCTTCAAACGACTTTTCAAGGCCAAACCAATGACACCATCTTTTAGCCCCCTTCAAGCCATACAACTTTTGTCTGAAATATTTCTTTCTAAAGTGCATAATTTATGAAATATTCGACCGTCCCGGAACTTTTGGTAGGCACAGTATATCAAATAATTAAGTATATTGTGGCCTAGAGATGTAAATCTCCTATAATTATGAAGATATAATTTCTTTCTACAGACCCGATAGAGTAAGATTGACTAAAGATGATGTCACTAAAAACCTCGACGAATCTATGGACACGATGGATATGTACCAATTATTCACGAATCAAGAGAATAATACTAATGTGGAAATCCTCAAGAGTTCGGAAAGTTCTAAATCACCAAGCCCCGATTCAAGGTGCTCGTCCTCTAGATTTAATTTTTTTGCCTAGTAATGTAATAGGAAATGTTATTAATCTAGTCTCATGTCTATTAGTCAACAGCAATACTTTGGGACAGAGGCAGAAAATGCTGATGTGGACGCATTTATAAATCAGCATAGCAGTAAAAGTAATTTGATGATAATTATCGCGAAATTTACGGAATTTCTGTGTGCCAAATGGAATCAGATGTGGCCGAAAGGAATGTCGGACATTTATTTACAAGCATATGTCTTTATGAGGTAAAACGGATTAAGGATTATTTACTGTGTGTATAGATAAGAATCTAGATTATCGAATCTTATTCAGGCAACATATTCCACATTTGTCACCATTCGATGAAGATGTCGATGATAAGATTCTAAAGCTAGATACTGAAATGACACTACTATTTGGGGAACTTCATACAGATAGATGGCTGGAAAATAAACCAGACACTTTGCCAAACCCAACGTAAGCCTTTGATAAAATCTTATCTTTATTCGTTTTACGATATTCATGAATAACATTTTATACATTATTATTGTAGATTAGATAAACTTGGAACTGGGATGCCAGCAGAAGAATTAGGACACATAATATTTACAAGCGTTAGACAGGATCTCTCAAATGACGAAAACTTAAGTATATTATTAAGAATTCTATGGCTTAAAGCTAGCATCTTTCTATGTCAAGGTGATATCGACATAGTCATAGAGACGCTAGAATTGGTAAGAAACTTATGTTCGATATTTAAAAAAGCATATTATTATAAACTACGAATATAATATTTTAAACTACGAATTAAATATGAATTTTCAGTTGTTGAATCATCTGCAAAAAATGGAAAGTAAAAACTCAAGTCTATGTATTAAGCTTTTAAATTGTAAAAATAATTCTCAAATCAGTGCCAAACTTGTAAAGAGAAAGCTCACATCAATTCAGAGGTTTATTCTCAATTTTAATATCTTCTAATGTATATTACTTATTGTCAAGATACTGAATATATTAGACTAAGTATAATTAAATTTATAATCATTTAGGGGTCAAAAATTAGGCGAAATTCAACACTTGTATGATGAAAAGAAATATGCGGAATTATCTTGTATACTGCAGGATACTTTCAAATTTGCCAAACAGAGGCACAAATTGTTGATAACCAATGAAAACATTGTCGACAGAGTTCGGCAATTAACCATGTTACTCGATAGCTTATGGCAACTTCAGCAATATGAGGTAACTATTAATAACTAGTGTTAATAACAATAATACATCAATATGTATGTAAGAAGGCTAAATTTTTGATAAAATACTCTTAGGAATGTTATGTCTGGGCAGAAGCTTGTCTCAACGAATCGTGGCAAAATTACTTGAGTTCCTCTGATGAAGCTGAACAAAAGAAATGGACAAGTTCTATTGTAATGGCACTTGAAAAATTGGAAGCTTGCACGATCGAAGTTAGTGTATTCATTGGTAAGATCACATTGCAAAGTTGTATTATATAAGAGACTTAATATAATATTCTTTTACAATTTTTTATATTATAATTTCAGTGAAATATCTGCCGGAGTCTCGTCTGACGAGATTGGTGCAGAATTTAGTTCACATCGTCTGTCATCAATTGGACGTACCAGAGAATGCTGTTGAAATGCCATTGGAGACTGTTCTACCCTGGATCCTGTTACATTATATTCTGCAATAGTAAGTTTGTCAGACAACTGTGCATGCGTATTTTTTTATATATATTGCAAAGTGAAATTTTTGTGTGTTAATAGCGAGGAAGATAAGGAGAGAGCAAAGGTCGAGTCGCCTTATAAGAATAAATTGCACAGCTCTCATCATTCGGAATCAGATGACGAGGACGATGGTATCCCGCCATCCATCATGATTCTGTTCACCGCCCACGAATTTATCGGCAGACACTCTTGGTGTTGCTTCAACGAGGCAAAACTCTTATTCTTCATCATGAATCATATCATACCGCAGCTCGAAACTCCCTTGTATGCTTCCATAAAGAACAGACTCACAAAGTATCTGGAACAAATATTCTTCTGTTTGTACGGCCATCCGAACAGGGTCAACAAGATACGTCCAAAGTATCTACAGGATCACATGGTGCCGCAGATGGAATTAACCTGGGAAGGAGCGCAATTGCTATTCGATTTTTACAAACCGAAGCAGCTACCCAATTTTCAATCTCCCCGTCTACTCTCCATCAGCATGGACACGGAGATACTGTTTAAGAGAATAATCAGATTAATTCCGCGGGAGAGCGACCCAAATCAAATAGTAGACGAGATGACGGCATACATAATCGGCGCACGGGATAAAATGCCAAGCGTAGTGAAGCCTCTACCGCATGCAATATCCCCTATTTACTATTTACTGGGTGATTTTTATTTTAAGAACAACAAATGGGAGCATGCTTGCCGATATTATTTACTAGATCTATGTCTATGTCCAAGGGGATTAAATTCGTGGGCGGGTCTAGCTATGGCGACAGGCAGTATAATAGAGAATTGGTTGAACAATTATAGACCCATGTAAGTATCATTCCTTTTTTTTGCTAAATTTTTTCCTTCATTTCTCTGTCATCTATATGTATTACATACATTTTCTATTACATTTAGAGGAAAAGATAAATTTCTCAACAAGGCAAAAATGGCACAATCGAGTTACCAACACGCTATTGAGCTGGCGCCTGGCCATTCCGTCATTTGGACAGAGTATGGGAATTTCGTTTACATAGTTCATTCATTTTGCTCGCGATTGCTCAAGCAAGAGACCGACACGTTGAGCATGGAGAGATTCGAAATTTTGGAAACCAGAAAGGAAGAGATGCTGGAGATTGCGGATCAGTGCTTCGAATCCGCCAATCGAATATGCCAAACTATCGAGGAACCGTCTATACAGCACGACGAAAGATGGCTTTATCAATATATGCTCGGTAAAGTCGCGGAAAAGAAAAATCAAGATCCTCCCATATTTTTGGAACATTATGCAAAGGTCAATCATCTTATCTACCATGTTATTTTCTACCAATATACAGGGTGTTTCAAACCACTCGTTTAAAACCATCCATTTAAAACACTAGAGAAGTGGTTATTTCAAAAAAATAAAAATATTTTCTTTATAAATCGGGTGCGCTCTATCGGAATGGTGATATTTTCAATTTCTGGTCCCGGCCGGAAATAGGCGATTTAGATCGAAAATGCATTTTTTTTAATGGAACCTCCTATTTTTCACTGCATATTTTTGTAGCTTACCTCGAGAGCTTTTCAAAACACTATAATAAATTATTTTTCCATAGTACTTTTCGAGTTATGAGGCTTGAAATCATTTCTTAATTTTACATAAATCATAAAATATTTTGTAAAATATTCATTTTTCGATTATCTTACCTTAATACTTTTATGTATAAAATAATAAGAGGAATCAATTGGTGTAAAGAAAACATACAGTTGTTTTTAAGAAAAAATATGGAATTGTTAATTGCAAATTACATATTTTTTCTTAGAAACAACTATGTGTTTTCTTTATACCAATTGATTCTTCTCATTATTTTGTACATAAAAGTATTAAGGTAAGATAATCGAAAAATGAATACTTTACAAAATATTTTATGGTTTAAAAAAAATGTTTTTACTTTTTTGAAATAACCACTTCTTTAGTTTTTAAATGGGTGGTACGGGTGGTTTGAAACACCCTGTATATATTTGTCAATAGCTTTAACATTAACGTTTATTTTACGTTAATTTTAGGCTAGTGAATTATTATACGAAAATAACGCTCAATATCCACGTAGAATAAGTCACAAGAGTCCTCAGAATTTATCTATAGAGGCGCTAGAAGTTCATTATCGCATTCACGCGAGTATATTAAAGTATTTGGAGCAACACGAAGGTAAACCACTGAAGAAATCGTTGGGTCAGCTGTTTAATTGGCACCTTAAAAATTGTTCTGAGGGTCCCTTTATGAAGTATCAGTCTAAACTTAACGAGAAGAAAAGAGAGGAGAACGCCGATGTTGAGAAAAATATTTTGAAGGAAGCCGATGCTGTAAATGATGCGGATAAGAACGTAATTACAATATGTCGACGCTCAAATAGTATCGAAGAAATAGAAATCATAGATAGATCGAACAAAATTTCCGAAGTTAAGACAGAAATAGGAAAGTCTGAAAGTCGCAAGAGACTTCCCGATGAACTATTACATGACAATACGAAAAAAATTAAATTAAGTAACGTTTCGCATTTACAATTGATGCAAGACGTCGTAGCCTTAATAGACGATTTAATTACTAAAGTTTGCGACATGGTATCGCGAAAGGAAGGAACGAGCGACGACGTGATGATTCTATCTAGTGATGAGAGTAACGAATCGAAGTTGCAAAAGAAGAAGCTGGAGAACAAGAGTGCTGATAAAACAAAATCGCAGACAAAAACAGAAGAGAATAAAAAAATTTCAGTAAATATATTAACAGTTGATCCTGAACGAAAAACTGACAATGTACAAGATTTAATGGATGCTCTTATGAAACAGGCAATGGAAATTAGTCAAGAAACCCAACAATCTTCCGCGGATGACGAAGACACCAGAAAATTCGATGGCAAATGGTTGCAAAATGAAGACTTGCAATCTACTGTACGTTTATCTGATCTTGTTTCCTTCTTTCTTTAAATATATACTTTGCTAACATGTGAATTCTTGAAATCAATTGATGCAAGCATTACGATTATTCTGCTCTGACAGGGAAAAGATAAAGACAAGATGGAAGAGAAGAGAAAAGCACAAGCCAGTGCGAATGAAGAAATGACTTTGAGCAGAAGAGGTTCTCAAGAAAGCACCACAACTACGCAAACTACAACTACGACTACAGAGACAAATAACTCGAGCTCCAGTAGCAGTGAAGAATCTAGCAGTAGCGACGATAGTTCTGATAGCGATAGCTCTAGCGATAGCGACAGTGATTCTGTCGACAGCGATGCAGAAAAGAAGAAGAAAGAGCCTGCCAATGTAGACAATGGTAAATTATATACTATTACTCTTTATTTTCATCATTACATTTTACTATAGCTTGTATGTAATATTTTATTAAATATAATTATTAATTTTATTTAATATAATATATTTTATTAAAATGAAAAAAAAGATTTATACATATGTTATCTTAATATTTTAACTTCTAGAGGAACATATGCCGGAAGAAGAAGTAGCGACATTAATTGCATATTGTTTAGCTGGTTTAGAACAGTGTATATTAAGATTCGCCGAACATCACAAATCCTTTTATAGACTTGCACACTTCTTCTTTAACAATAAAAAAGCGAAAGACACCGTGAAATGCAAGGATCTCTTGTTAAGGACATACAGTTGTCAGTTTTATGTCGGACAGACTTTTCAAGGACTTTTCGCCGAGAGAAGAAGTACCAACTTTTTTAATGTAAGTGTACATGTTATTAATATAACGAATAACATAATAATTTAATTTAATTTATGGTATAGTTATAATTTCACAATTTAAAAAAAATATTGTTAAGAAAGATATTCCAATAGCAGATTTTTAAATGCGGTTACGTTAATATTTTTTATAATTTCTGCGTTGCATACTTGATTATTATTATCATCTTTCACAACTGAACCTCTTGCATCACCGGCGATTATCGGTTTTAAGTTAGTTTTATAACGTTCCGTTATTATTTCCGATCGTAGAGCACTTGCCATAGCCATTCCGTCTGCTGCTTCCCACATTTCGGTTCTTTCCAAAGCTATTCTTTCAGCTTGAAGCAAAAAGTTTGCGATAGAACCATTTAGAGTACTATAAATGTTTCTGTATTCCTCCTGTGTATCAAATAATATTCCATGATTCATAAATCAATTTAATTCACGTATACTTGTATAAATATTACACTACCTTTGAGATAGAATTAGCCTGTACTGTGTCTAATGGAAATATAATACTAGGTTTATTGGTGTTATTCAATGCAATCCAATCACTTTCCGGATCTTGTTGGAAATTAAATTCAATGTTACTACTGTCGAGGCTCGATCCCATTACAACGTGTTGCTTTACTAGATGCAGGAAATTAGGTTCCAACGCGATTGCTGTAGCAATCGTTGTCAGAGGTCCAAGACTGACTATAGTTATTTCGCCTAAAAAAATTTTAAAAATTCAATATTTATATTATAATACACATACACACACATACATATACCTGGATATTTTTTCACCAATTCTACAAGTAGCACAGAAGCGTGTTTTGATTTGTCTACTTTTGCAGTTATGTTTCTGGTAAAATTGAAATTTCCAAATCCGTCCTTGCCAAAATAATCACTATTTTCATATACATTTATCAATGGTTTTTGGGCACCGCTGTATACAGGTATCTGTCAAGTTTTTGGAGAGATACAATTTATTAATTAATAATTAATAATTTAATAATTAGATATAATACATTATAATATACAATATATTATTATAATTTATTATTACATTAATAATGAAGAGATAATGAATAACATAAACAATATTGATAGATAACAAATTATTAAGCACACATTGTGTTAGTGAAATTTTAGAGATCATTAAATTGTAGAAGTTTGAATAGCATGTCAAGCACTCGGTCATCAAAAGCATGTACTTACATCGCTTCTATTGGCAATTGTTAAAGTCTTTAAAACGTTCTGTTCCACATTCTCCAAGTATGTGTTACCATATGTAGCAGTTATAGCTAGAATTTCGATGTCATGTGTCTTGGTCTCGTACATGAGGGCCAACATTATTGCTAGAGCATCATCTCCCCCAGCATCTGTATCTATTATCATTTTTCTAGGCGCAGTTTTACAGTACCTTTGATCATTTTAGAGAAATTATTTATTTCCTTATCATATCTTTCGACATGAAATTATTCTATAATGCATCCTTTAATGATAATTTATTATAAATGATGAAATAAAAGATCCATGTTAAATCCATCATATTATCTTGAATTTTTTTTTAGGATAAAAAGTATTACTTTTATATTTTATTATTTTTATTTTACTATTAATATTTAATACTTAATAAAATAAAAATAATAAAATATAAAAGTAATACTTTTTATATTAAAAAAAAATTCAAGATAATAATATGATGGATTTAACATGGATCTTTTATTTTATTCTTTATAATAATTTGTCAATTACCTAGTGGCGATACAGAGTAGATATAACAATATCATAATCATTGATATGCCATGAATTAGATCCATTTCCGTCGATTGTTCTGATACTCTGTAAATACAATATATAAAATGAATATATAAAGTTATTGAAGCAATTATTTCTATTTTATGTCGTCGATTATGTGATGTATATGTTCTAATATTATGTGATTTTTAGGGAGTATGGCATATACCGGTCAATGAAATTGACAGACCTGGTAGCTTTGCCTCACACATGTCGAAATGCGTGACATTACTCATGCAAGTATTAAAGGAAAGTAACGATAGTCGGATGTTGATGCAGTTATGCATACAACTCGGGAAGATTCCAGATTCAGACAAGTAAGTTAAAATAAATAATTAAAGGACTAATTGTATATAATTTATTCTCTCTATTGAATAATTACAAAATTAAAAACAAAGGAATGCGGACAATTAATACTTTTCTAGAAAAAATGATCAAATAACAGTACTTTTTATTAAGGGTAAAAATTGATATTTTTAGATAAGAATATATATAAATGACTTTCCATCTAGAAACTTGCATATTTGTAATCTACGTGTCATAAAGAGACACCTCCGATTAGACACAGTACAATTGGACACAACTGGCTTTGATTGGCTAATCGTACTTGATCGTGCTGGTTACCCTAGGCATCGATATGATTGGCTGTGTCTAATCGGGCAATCCCCGTCATAAATTTCAAGCCAAAAATAAAATTTAATCACATTGGGAAAATTTTAGGCAACAGACATAAGGACACTTATTTTACACTTTATTTTTTGTGCAAAAGAAAAATATGAAAATCTATACTATTATTTTTTTTTTCTAGAAAATATTTACGTGACTCCGAGAGAGAGCAGTTGTCCCGACAAGCTCTGACCCTTTGTCAACAATCACTTAGAAGCAGAGTTCAGGCAATGAGTTCTGCAAGCACGATCGACAGCGTCCACCTTATTAGAACCGATGCCAGAACGCAAGTACTGCTTGACGTGTATGAAACATATCAACTTGTGCAAAAGCACCTTCAGGGAAAAGAGTCTACCATACAAACATTTGCGACATTGTTGACGGACACTTATAAAATGTACATAGGAAATAAAGTAAGTACATACATATATATATATATATATATATATATATATATATATATACATATATGTGTGTGTGTGTACAGGGTGGGGTATTTGAAGTATTACGAGCTATTATCTTTGAAAGTACACATTATTATATCAAAAAATGTTGAAGACAAACGTTATTTGACTCGAAGGAGGACATAAGAAAGTGTTATTGGTTTGATCTTGGATAGTCATTTGAAGGTCACATGAAGATCACCTTTAATTTCTTAAATGGAAACCTCCATTGTCCATTACACTTTCTTGAGAGCTTTCCAAAACATTATAATAAAGTATTTTTTCATTGAATACCTTTCGTTATGAGGCTTGAAAACATTTCTTAATTTTACATAAATTTTAAAATATCTTTAAAATATTTATTTTTCGATTATCTTACTTCAATACTTTTATGCTCAAAATGATGAGAGGAATTAATTGGTATAAAAAGACAATTGTTTTTAAGGAAAAATATATAATTTCCGATTAACAATTACGAGTCAAATAACTTTTGTCTGAAACATTTTTTGCTATAATGTATACTTATATATATATATATATATATATATATATATATATATATATATGTATATGTATATATATATATATATACACACACACACACACACACAGGGTGGACCATTTTAATCTATAATGGAAAATATCTCTGAATGTTGATGAGATACAACAAAATGTTTCAGACAAAAGTTGTATGGTTTCAAGGGGGACATAAGATGGTGTCATTAGTTTGATCTTAAAGAGCCATCTGAAGGTCACGTCAAGGTCAGCTTCAACTTTTTAAATGGGACACCCTATAGTTAGTTTTCATTAAGTACTTTCCAAGTTATGAGGCTTGAAATCATTTTTTAATTTTACATAAACCGTAAATGTGCAATAAAAAATAGGGGGTTCCATTTAAGAAATTGAAGGTGACCTTCAAATGATTATCCTAGATCAAACCAATTATACCATCTTATGTCCCCCTTGAAGCCATACAACTTTTGTTTGAAACATTTTTCTCTGAAATGCTTTGTTTCCGAGATATAAGTTTGTAACGCTTTATTTTGAACACCCGGTATATATACAATTTATAAATAATTATACTATAGAAATTAATTCTATTTCCATCTAATTCAATTTTTGTAACAAGCCAACTCGTGTACACTTTTCTCTTTTGTTTTATCTTTTATCGGATCTTTTCTGTCTTATCAGATTACAGTTGCAAATTACAGTACACTTGTACATGATTATGGCATGGTAATGTTTGTTTAATTGCTCTGGGAAAATATATTTTCTAAGAACTATAAAAATTAAATTATATTTATAGACAGAATAGATTTTCATAAAATTAAAAACTATAAAAATTAAATTATATTTATAAACAAAATAGATTAGATTTTTATGATAGTAAAATATGTCGCATAAAAGTATTTTAAAAATCTTTTTATTTGAAACAAATCTTTGGAATATCTCTTTTATAACTTTGTTATTATTTTATGTGATTAACAAAAATTTTTTCGAGAATCAAAGAGAAGAGAATTAAATGATTAAAATGATTTATTAAAAAACATTATCTTTATTAAAATTAAGGATAATTATCAAATAACAATTTCAAATGGTAACATATTTTTTGCATTACCTTTTAGAATCTGGAAGGAAATGTCCTGGAAATCGCTATCAAATGTTGTCAACGACAGATACAGGCAAACAAACTCGCATCGGTTAACAACAGCAGTAGCAGTCACGTGCAACCTCAAACCACTTCTACTATTTCGGTGAATAAACTTCTTTATCATCGCTGTTATGACGATTATCACATCAATACATATCGAAAACGACTCTCTTATCTTTCAGGCGCCTACGCCGCAGATGCCAGTAAACTCAACATCACCGCACACTTTGCAGAATCGCAAACCGCATAGAAATCTGATGTCCACCGGACGTCCGAGGGGACGTCCGCCTAACGCTAACAAATACCTGCAGCACGCCATGCAGCAGAGCAGCAATGTGATGAATCAGTTCGGTTCCAAGAGTAACTTTACGAACTTCATGAGCGCGTCCGGGCCAAATCGCTCCATGATAAATCCTTACTTCATGAACCCTCTAGTCGACGCAAATATGCTATCAGCCATACTCACTAGCGGACTGAGCAGCAATATGATGGATCCCATATCGGCTATGAGTTACTTGAACCAAGTAGGAAGTTATCAGGATATCCTCAGGCAGTATCAGAACAATCTGTCGTCTTTAACCAATCTCGCCAGCGGCTTAAGCAATCCAGGTACTACAATGACCACTGGCATCAGTAGCGTCTCGACGATGAGTACATCTAGCAGCGTTAACACTTCGAGTAATATCAGTAGTTTAGGTAATTTGAAAGGATCTTTAGACTCTATGACGGTGCAGCAATTATTAAGTTTGAGCAATTCTACGGCGTCGACGTCGCGACCCATGTACCATCAAGCAGCGGCCAAAACTAGCACAACCATGTCCATAACAAAAGATCGACCTAACATATCTATAACGCCAGTGAATCAGCAGCAGCAGCAACAACAACAACAACAGCAGCAGCAGCAACAGCAGCCGTCTCATCACAAAACAAAACCTACCAGCAAGCAGCCAAGCTTACAGAATGACCCAGCCGCGGCGTTACATCCTGTCCACATTCCAAAATCGCTTCAGATATCACCGACAAAGCCGGTATTACATTCGACAAGTGTGACGACAACTACAGCAGCGCAGATGTCCTTACTCAAGCCATCCATCATTCAGCAGGTGAAGAGTAGCCCGCCTAAGCAGATAAGCGCACCGCAGATACGCGTTTCGAAATCGTTGACCGAGCCGCAGCCTGCGCACAACAACTCGTCTCTGTCCCATTCGCCTTTGAAGAACAGCAACGGCAGTGGCGTCGTGACGACGAATCCCCAGGTCGCTCACACGTCCATGGGTGCGCCTGTAATTATGAAACCACAGCAGACGCTGCCCGTGAACCTACCTATGACCGCGTCACGATCTGGCACGTCCCTGCAGCACAAACTATTGTCGAAGAAGAATTGCCAGCGACCTTACTCGAGCTTGCAAAACGTGCATTCCAATGTGAGGAAGACTGCGAAGACGGTGGCGGCCGCGAAGACGTCTGCGGCGATGCCCGTGTTGATGCCTGGTAACTTTCCAGGCATATTAAATCAGGTGATACCATCAGGAAATTCCACTGCGATATCGCAATCGCCTTTTATACCGCCGGAATTGAGCGGCATCTCGGTGAGTCCCGTGGTCACTCCTCAAGCCAGCAGTATCAAGACTGCGAGCGTCAAGTATCATGGGTATAAGAAACCATCTGCCGGCAACAAACCGGCGAAACCGACGCCGGCGATGGACGTGCCGTCCAGCTCGCTGTCGAGCTCGACCTCCTTTCCCCAGGGCAGCACAGTCGAGGCGCTTTCCATGTTGTCGCAGTTACAGCAGCATTCGCATCTGGAGATCATACCACAGCAAAAACCGCCGCAGTTGAAGCCCAGCTTGGATTACTCCAAGAGTCTCTCGTCCTTGAGTGTGGTGCCGCAAAAAGTGATCTCCGAAACATCGGCCAGGCCGTCGACGACCGCTGATTGCTTGACCGTATACGATATGCCGAGGGCAAAGCCTGCTAACGTTTCGAATAAAAAGACTCAAGACAAACTTATTAACGAAAGCGTCGAAATTATAACACTGGACGATTAAGAGTGGACTCGCCGTAGACCCACTTTATGCAAATTGATGTAAATTTTTATTTCTCAAGAAAAATGCAAATATCACGATAATAACTGCTGAATTGAAATGGCAACTCCTTGCATTGGAATGAGACAAGTCACGTTATTTATGCAGCAACAATAACATTACAAGAGATAATGATGCTTTTATTAAATAGGCTCTTTCGGTATGTTATTCTCTTGTATGTTGTGTATTATGTGAGAATGTTGAGTCAAAATTAAATTATAATAAATCACGTATATAAAATACATTGTTGAAAAAGTTCCAACGCAATGAGTTGATATACTAATTTATACAATTTGTTTTTCCTTAGATTTTAGTATATTAAAAAAATGATAGAGATATTATATAGAATCACATAGATACATATATATGTACTATAAGAGTATATTTCTTTTTCTTGTATATATAAATTTTATATTTCTTTATAGTGAGAAAAAAGAATTCTATTGGTTGCGATACAAAAACATTCGTCTTGCATTTTAAGTAACCACATTAAATTACTTTTTTTCCCAGTTAGATTTATAACAATTTAAATTAACAAATTTATGTATTAAAACGTATCTTTTGTTTTTATTCTACGATTCTCAGAGAAAAGTGTATAAACTCATTCTTTCATTTTTTACAATTCCATATATATATCAAACTCGTAGATTAAAAGAGAGATTTGTGTTGTTCAAAGTTTTGATTACATATAGACATCTCTTTTTCTTTATTCATTAAAAATCGCATTCTAATTACTTGATATATTTATTTAATTTGTATATTATAATATGAACAAAAAATGTATTACTTTCACAATAATTCTACAGAAGCATTTTTGGATAAAGAGACATTATTTTTCTACCGCATACACATTTGATACAATAGAACTTTGAATACAACATTGAATACAATAGAACTTTCTTCTACAAACTCGCATAACAACCGAAAATGTGATTAGCCTCGGTAAATGTTTTCTAAAATTTGTAACTGACTCCTCTCTTGTATTAAAGGAATATCTGAAATTATGAGTTATCGATTTCTCTTCGTTTTACAGAGTTTTGCCAACTTAAATGATAAGCTACATTTTATAATTCTGGGATATCATGATGAAATAATAGCTTCTAATAATTAATAATCGTTCTGAAAGAGATTTGTTACACAATTTTCTTTAAAATAATATATGAAAGTAATTTATACGGAGGCAGTACTTATTATATTGCATCGCAATTTTATTTAACGTATAGAGAATTTAAAAATACATTCAATCATATAAATTTTCATGAGAAGCAAGATGTCTTCACATATCTTTTTCTTCAATTATCTTTTCCTCATCTAATGATTCGTCTCTTTATTAACAAAAAAGGTATTTGCAAGAATCCCATGAACTCCCAAGTTATGAATTGCAAACACGGAACCAGCATAGGGAGTCTTCTCTCGCTCTTCTGCAGTTAAACCATGACCTGATGTAGTCACATATAAAATATCGAGAAGCGGACCACCAAAGGCAACACTAGATACATCTCTAGCAGGAAGCTCAATTTTTTCCAGCACTTTGTGTTTGTGTGGATCCACTTTGATGAGCTAGATAAAATATTTTTGCTTATTAAATCAAGACATTCTTGAGTAAATACTTCATATTGCAATATTGCATTTGATATAAAAATTTATTTATATATTAAATTCGATCGGGAAATTCTCAAGTGCTTAAAACACATATTAAATTAGTATCCAGAAAAATATTTCAGATCTCTGGCACACTTAATGATTGTAAAACAACTATGTCATATATGATAGTGTTGTCAGAAAGTGATAATAATTAGTTATATAATAATGTCACCGATAACAAGTTTCTCATTGCATTTGAAAAAATCCATGACTATATATACTTACACCATGTCCTCCAAACAATGTTACCCAAAGATTGCCATCTGTATCTATGGTCATTCCATCAGGTAATCCTTCTAGCTTAGTGTGATTCAAATTAAGTGCAATCCTTTTATTAGCTAAAAATATAATATAAAAACTATAAATGCATAGTCCTTGAGAGTTTTTCCTTGAATGTATATTTTCTTATGCTTTCATATTTTTCATAATTCTTTCAATTTTCAGTTACATTTATACTTGCATACTTTTTTATAATTTTAATTAAAAGTAATTTTAATTAAAATTATAAAAAAGTATGCAAGTTAATTAATTAAAAGTAATTTTAATTAAATTATCAAGTCTCTTACATATTGTCCCGCTATTCGGATCAAAATCGTATGCTGCAATCTCACGTGTACTTGAATCAATGTAATAGAAAGTATTGTCTTCGATATTCCACGCTAATCCATTACTTATTGAAACAGGGGTTATTTCTGTTTTAGGTTTAAGCGAATCATTAAGGCGATATAATGATCCCTTATCAAGAGCTATCTGTCCATTAATTTCATTCGCCATAGTACCTATTGAAAATATAATTGATAGCCAATATTTATTGCGTTAAAAAAAAAATGCATTTCTATTCATAATATATTTTCAATTTACCAATCCATAATCTTCCAGCTGAATCCGCTTTTCCATCATTAGTTCTTACGTCGCCAGATGTAAGATTACTCAGAACATTGTATGGTGTCACTTTCTGATTTGCATCTGCATTCCAGTTGACCAAAATAACATCTTTTCCACTACCAACTACGAATTTATTAGGACTATCATGCACAGGTATCACAACACTAACAGGACCGTGGTCTGTGAAGTAGTTTAAGAAATCATAATATTATCTAATGTTAGAAATATAAAATGATGAATTATGTGTGATAGTGATACTTGCAAAAAAAGTTATATACTCTTACCTATGTAAGTACTGGTTACAACACCTGTCGCAGGATCCAGTCTACGTACGTACTGATTATATATGTCAACAAAGTACAACTTTTGAGCGTCAGAATCCCAGTGAGGACCCTCGGAAAGGCCATAAGCGTCTGTCACTCGCTCTATCTTAATTTTAGGTTTGAGGTGATGATGAGCTTCCCTATAAATAAATAATTGCATATTAAAGTAAAGTTTAAAAAATTGATTAGTTGCAGCTTAGGATATGCATTTTGCACTTTACAGGAAGTGATATTCACACGCATTATTTTTCTTAACTTTAAACAGCCATTTAATTTTGTATTATTATCCTCAATCGTTCGAATCAATGAAAAAGTCCTTATTATATGACGCTGATATAAACAAGTGATGGAACATGATCGATCTAAACTAAACGAAAGACTGTAGAATGATTTTGATCGCACTTTATTAATTTCTATAACAAAAGCATAATATTTAAAAAAATAAAACAGCCTGTTCTTTTCAACTGCACTTGCAATATATTGTGCATTTGAAAGATTTATATATTAAAAAAAAAGAGGAGGAGGAAATTGCAGAGAAAATTGGAAGGAATAAACGTGCTCTATTTGCACTCTTCTGCACTTTTATTCCCCCTTTCGTTTCTTTCTTATCGCAAAGAAAAAAAAGGTGTAGAAAGCGGCCGTAATCTGTCAAAACGAGTTATGCAAAAGCGATGTTTACGTTGTCATTTCCGTTCGAAAAACCGAAAGATTGCGAAAGAAATCGAAAACCGAAGGCGAAGAAGCGAAGAGTCGACCTGTCGCGAACTGTCAGAACAAACAGCTGACGAATTATATTTCAGCTCGCGCGCAGCGCGGAACAAGGTAATCGCTCCGATTACGTAAATCAAGTGTTGATTATCCCGACGATGATGATACTGTGTGACAAAAGACGGATGCGGCTATTTAATGAACGCTGATAAGGCCTGGTGCTACTTGAAATCGGAGGGTTATCGATAAATGCGCTTTGCTTTGTTTCATATTTTAAGGCTTCAAACATTCGTTTATAAATAACGACAGTATATATTCTAGACGTGCACCGAGGAAAAAAATTGTTAACTTGATTAAATGTGTTCAACTAATTATTATTTTTTTAAATTGAATTTTAGTAATTATTTAAGTATTTTAAGTTAAATAGTATTTTATGTTAAATTTATTTAATATGTCGTATATAATTTAAATATTTCAATTATATTAAATGTAAACATTCAATTATAATAAATGTAAATATTCAATTATAATTTAAATATTTCAATTATATTAAATGTAAATATTCAATTATATTAAATGTATATTAAATGTTTCGATTATAAAAGTAATAATTGAAAAATAAATTCCCACGTAGCAAAATAATGTCTTAATGACGTAATATGAGGTCATTGAAACGTTATTAAGATGTCATTTGATGTCATTCTGCTACCTGGATAGTTGAACGCATTCAATCAAGTTAACAACTTGTTTTTTCAATGTGTCACAAAATACATTTCCAAACATATTAAACAAATTATACATATTGAAAAATTCATAATGTGAAGTAATATTTTTCAAAGGTGAAGATATTATGAAAATTAATAAAGATAAAACGTAATAAAGATAAAAAATGAAAATTCTTCTGAAACTCTTTGTGCTATCTGGGAAGCATGCACCATGACGTTATATTACTCCTAGTTTAAACAAAACTATCAAACTAAGCAACTATCATGTACAAATTTATTTTTTTGTTTCTCACAATTTTAATGTTAAAAGTATTACTTCGCAGCGCATGAACTGACATTTTTTTTATTCATTAAAAATGCGTGCGCGATGCATCGATTTATGGAAATCCTTTCACTTTCCCGCTATGAATGAGAACGACGAGAACGCAAAGATACGTATTCGCAAATTATTCTTCTCATGATAGTCTATATATCTCGTATTACTGTCTAACTCGAAAGTAATGCTCTCTCTTTCAGATTAAAAAGAACGAGTAAAACGCACCGGCTTATATAGGCGTTCCTACCTTCACCGATTCGGTCGAAACCTGTGAGGGGAGTTGGATATTTTAACGAGAAACGCATTTTGGCGTTAGATAGCATCAACTGATGTAAATTTATTGATAATAATAAATTATTTTGTGTCGCCTTTCTGACAATGATGAGCGAAACTAAATTGCATAAGTCGTGTAATAATTTAATGGCACACGGAAATGTGGGACAGTTTTTAACGTGATCGATATTACTTAACGATAGTAATCTTTGACAAGGAAAGGTTATGGTTAATCGATTATGATGATTTATCGTACAGCAAAAATATATCATGCAACCTTTTGTTAACGAGAGGGGAAAAAAAGCTTTACAGGAAATGTTTTATTCTGTATATAGATAATATATAAATTTATATATAAATATATAAGTTAAATAATAATAAAATATATAAAATATTAAAAATATGATAACAAAATAAAAATATAATAATAAAATAAGAAAGAACAAAATAAAAATATAATGTTAACAAAATAAAGATATAATGATAATAAAATAACAATAAAAATAAAAAAAAACAAAATAAAATAAGAAAGAACAAAATAAAATAAGAAAGAACAAAATAAAAAATATAATAACATGATAATTATGAAACGAGCGATAAGAGCCTAAAAACGCGGATGGTATTGCGTAAATTTTTTTTTTTTTTTTTTTTTCAAACATTAATTGTTCGCGAAAAAAAATTTTTTATTTTTTTTATTTTTTTTATTAAGACGTGCACAAGACATTTATACATATATTTTACTTGGTGTATGTGCCAAGTTATAGATTCTCTTGGTTTAAGACTTCTATAACACCCTCTTTACCCCCCTGAAGAGATGTAGAAGCGAAAGACTCGGGTTCGATTCCCGATTCAGCGACTTCGCCCCGATATTTTTCCTGTTTACATCTCTTCAGGGGGGTAAAGAGGATGTTATAGAAGTCTCAAACCAAGAGAATATATATCTATAACTTGGCACATACACCAAGTAAAATATATGTATAAATGTCTTGTGCACGTCTTAATTAAAAAAAAAAAAAAAAAAATTCGCGAACAATTAATGTTTAAAAAAAAAAAAAAAAATTTACGCAATACCATCCGCGTTTTTAGACTCTTATCGCTCGTTTCATAATTATTATGTTGTTAAATACATAGAGCCGTATTCTTTATCAATTTATTAAAAGATATAATTTTAATAAAATAAAGATATAATGATAACGAAATAGGAATAAAATAAAAAAGAACAAAAAAATAAAAATATGATAACAAAATAAAGATATAAAAATATGATAACAAAATAAAGATATAATGATAATAAAATAAGAATAATAATAAAATATATAAAAGATTAAAGATAATATTAAAAATTAAGATAATTAGATTTGCCACGTGCCTTTCTTCATTTGTATTTTTAATTTTTTGCGTAGCGAATGATAACAGGAAAAAAATATGCCTAAACGTGTTAAACATGCATTACATGAAATACTACTCACTTATACATTGTTTGTTTTTAAATTTACACAAAATAATATATTAAATGCCGTCTCGAAAAAGACATTTTTCCGAATCTGTTGCAATTTTATCTATTGCAATCTTAAATATATATTTGATTTTATAAGAAAAAAATTGTGTAAAATCTGATGAAATTTACAATTTTATACCATCTAGGAAGAATCGTAGAAAATATCCGGCAACATATATTAATATATAGTCAAAAATGAACAATTATAATCATATATGTATAAATAAATACAAATGCACATAAAAACATGTATTCATGTAGAATAAGATAAAATTAATTATTATAGAATAAGATAAAAAATAAAATTAATTATTATAGAACAAAATTAAATTAATTATTTGCAGCACATTAGTTATTACACAAGTTTCTTTGTATAAAATATGAAGCCCTTGACCGATATATACGGATATCCAATCATGCGAGCACTTGGAAGAAAACATGACAGTAAATTACATAATTTTTATTATGCAATAATTTTGATAAAAATATCTCAATATACAAATACTATTTTTATGTAAATATTATTATTTTATAACATTATTTAATAACATTATTTATGTTTTGCAAATAGGTATGTTCCAATATTGTGCACGAATTTTGTAAAAATTTTAAAATGTTTCTGTAAAATACTTCTTAATTTATGTTGTTCATCATCTTTTCTAGGAATACAATAGGAAAGCAATTTGATATTTATAGATATTTAAGGATATTTGAATAATCACAGCACAACATCGAATGTATAGTTGATTGTATAATATATGAATGCGAACTTACATGGGGCTTTTAATCACAAGTACAGTCTTTGTATCTATAATTAAATTCAATCTATAATTAAATTCAATCTATAATAAATTCAACATTGGAAGATACAGCTCGTAAATATTTCCTATCTCTATGCAACCCGTCATACGTTGCTGCGAAAAAGCAGCAGCTTCGGAATCGTGAATTTAATAAAAACTATATCGATCAAATTATATTTATAAACAAAATAGATTAGATTTTTATGATAGTAAAATATCTCGCATAAAAGTATTTTAAAAATCTTTTTATTTGGAACAAATCTTTGGAATATCTCTTTTATAACTTTGTTATTATTTTATGTGATTAACAAAAATTTTTTCGAGAATCAAAGAGAAGAGAATTAAATGATTAAAATGATTTATTAAAAAACATTATCTTTATTAAAATTAAGGATAATTATCAAATAACAATTTCAAATGCTAACATATTTTTTGCATTACCTTTTAGAATCTGGAAGGAAATGTCCTGGAAATCGCTATCAAATGTTGTCAACGACAGATACAGGCAAACAAACTCGCATCGATTAACAACAGCAGTAGCAGTCACGTGCAACCTCAAACCACTTCTACTATTTCGGTGAATAAACTTCTTTATCATCGCTGTTATGACGATTATCACATCAATACATATCGAAAACGACTCTCTTATCTTTCAGGCGCCTACGCCGCAGATGCCAGTAAACTCAACATCACCGCACACTTTGCAGAATCGCAAACCGCATAGAAATCTGATGTCCACCGGACGTCCGAGGGGACGTCCGCCTAACGCTAACAAATACCTGCAGCACGCCATGCAGCAGAGCAGCAATGTGATGAATCAGTTCGGTTCCAAGAGTAACTTTACGAACTTCATGAGCGCGTCCGAGCCAAATCGCTCCATGATAAATCCTTACTTCATGAACTCTCTAGTCGACGCGAATATGCTATCAGCCATACTCACTAGCGGACTGAGCGGCAATATGATGGATCCCATATCGGCTATGAGTTACTTGAACCAAGTAGGAAGCTATCAGGATATCCTCAGGCAGTATCAGAACAATCTGTCGTCCTTAACCAATCTCGCCAGCGGCTTAAGCAATCCAGGTACTACAATGACCACTGGCATCAGTAGCGTCTCGACGATGAGTACATCTAGCAGCGTTAACACTTCGAGTAATATCAGTAGTTTAGGTAATTTGAAAGGATCTTTAGACTCTATGACGGTGCAGCAATTATTAAGTTTGAGCAATTCTACGGCGTCGACGTCGCGACCCATGTACCATCAAACAGCGGCCAAAACTAGCACGACCATGTCCATAACAAAAGATCGACCTAACATATCCATAACGCCAGTGAATCAGCAGCAGCAGCAACAACAACAACAACAGCAGCAGCAGCAACAGCGCCGTCTCATCACAAGACAAAACCTACCAGCAAGCAGCCAAACTTACAGACTGACTCAGCTGCAGCGTTACATCCTGTCCACATTCCAAAATCGCTTCAGATATCACCGACAAAGCCGGTATTACATTCGACAAGTGTGACGACGACTACAGCAGCGCAAATGTCCTTACTCAAGCCATCCATCATTCAGCAGGTGAAGAGCAGCCCGCCCAAGCAGATAATCGCACCACAGATACGCGTTTCGAAATCGTTGACCGAGCCGCAGCCTGCGCACAACAACTCGTCTCTGTCCCATTCGCTTTTGAAGAACAGCAACGGCAGTAGCATCGTGACGACGAATCCCCAGGTCGCTCACATGTCCATGGATGCGCCTATATTTATGAAACCACAGCAGACGCTGCCGTGAACCTACCTATGACCGCGTCACGATCCGGCACGTCCCTGCAGCACAAACTATTGTCGAAGAAGAATTGCCAGCGACCTTACTCGAGCTTGCAAAACGTGCATTCCAATGTGAGGAAGACTGCGAAGACGTCTGCGGCGATGCCCGTGTTGATGCCCGGCAACTTTCCAGGAATATTAAATCAGGTGATACCATCAAGAAATTCCACTGCGATATCGTAATCGCCTTTTATACCGCCGGGATTGAGCGGCATCTCGGTGAGTCCCGTAGTCACTCCTCAAGCCAGCAGTATCAAGACTGCGTCAAATATCATGGGTATAAGAAACCATCTACTGGCAACAAACCGGCGAAACCGACGCCGGCGATAGACGTGCCGTCGAGCTCGCTGTCGAGCTCGACCTCCTTTCCCCTTAGGCAGCACAGTCGAGGCGCTTTCCATGTTGTCGCAGTTACAGCAGCATTCGCATCTGGAGATCATACCACAGCAAAAATCGCCGCAGTTGAAGCCCAGCTTGGATTACTCCAAGAGTCTCTCGTCCTTGAGTGTGGTGCCGCAAAAAGTGATCTCAGAAAAATCGGCCACGCCGTCGACGACCGCCGATTGCTTGACCGTATATGATATGCCGAGGGCAAAGCCTGCTAACGTTTCGAATAAAAAGACTCAAGACAAACTCATTAACGAAAGTGTCGAAATTATAACACTGGACGATTAAGAGTGGACCCACTTTATACAAATTGATGTAAATTTTTATTTCTCAAGAAAAATGCAAATATCACGATAATAACTGCTGAATTGAAATGCCAACTCCTTGCATTGGAATGAGACAAGTCACGTTTATTTATGCAGCAGCAATAACATTACAAGAGATAATGATGCTTTTATTAAATAGGCTCTTTTGGTATGTTATTCTCTTGTATGTTGTGTATTATGTGAGAATCTCGAGTCAAAATTAAATTATAATAAATTAGTTTTAACGCAATGAGTTGATATACTAATTTATACAATTTGTTTATCCTTAGATTTTAGTATATTAAAAAAATGATAGAGATATTATATAGAATCACATAGATACATATATATGTACTATAAGAGTATATTTCTTTTTCTTGTATATATAAATTTTATATTTCTTTATAGTGAGAAAAAAGAATTCTATTGGTTGCGATACAAAAACATTCGTTTTGCATTTTAAGTAATCACATTAAATTACTTTTTTCCCAGTTAGATTTATAACAATTTAAATTAACAAATTTATGTATTAAAACGTATCTTTTGTTTTTATTCTACGATTCTCAGAGAAAAGTGTATAAACTCATTCTTTCATTTTTTACAATTCTATATATATCAAACTCGTAGATTAAAAGAAAGATTTGTGTTGTTCAAAGTTTTGACATATAGACATCTCTTTCTCTTATATTCATTAAAAATCGCATTCTAATTACTTGATATATTTATTTAATTTGTATATTATAATATGAACAAAAAAATGTATTACTTTCACAATAATTCTACAGAAACATTTTTGGATAAAGAGACATTATTTTTCTACCGCATACACATTTGATACAATAGAACTTTGAATACAACATTGAATACAACAGAACTTTCTTCTACAAACTCGCATAACAACCGAAAATATGGTTAGCCTCGGTAAATGTTTTCTAAAATTTGTAACTGACCCCTCTCTTGTATTAAAGGAATATCTGAAATTATGAGTTATCGATTTCTCTTCGTTTTACAGAGTTTGCCAACTTAAATGATAAGCTACATTTTATAATTCTGGGATATCATGATGAAATAATAGCTTCTAATAATTAATAATCGTTCTGAAAGGGATTTGTTACACAATTTTCTTTAAAATAATATATGAAAGTAATTTATACGGAGGCAGTACTTATTATATTGCAACACAATTTTATTTAACGTATTGAGAATTTAAAAATACATGCAATCATATAAATTTTCATGAGAAGCAAGATGTCTTCACATATCTTTTTCTTCAATTATCTTTTCCTCATCTAATGATTCGTCTACTTTGTTAAACAAAAAGGTATTTGCAAGAATCCCATGAACTCCCAAGTTATGAATTGCAAACACGGAACCAGCATAGGGAGTCTTCTTTCGCTCTTCTGCAGTTAAACCATGACCTGATGTAGTTACATATAAAATATCGAGAAGCGGACCACCAAAGGCAACACTAGATACATCTCTAGCAGGAAGCTCAATTTTTTCCAGCACTTTGTGTTTGTGTGGATCCACTTTGATGAGCTAGATAAAATATTTTTGTTTACTAAATCATCTATTCTTGAGTAAATACTTCATATTGCAATATTGCATTTGATATAAAAATTTATTTATATATTAAATTCGATCGGGAAATTCTCAAGTGCTTAAAACATATATTAAATTAATATCCAGAAAAATATTAATTTACTAATTAGGAAAATATTTCAGATCTCTGGCACACTTAATGATTGTAAAACAACTATGTCATATATGATATTGTTGTCAGAAAGTGATAATAATTAGTTATATAATAATGTCACAGATAACAAGTTTCTCATTGCATTTAAAAAAATCCATGACTATATATACTTACACCATGTCCTCCAAACAATGCTACCCAAAGATTGCCATCTGTATCTATGGTCATTCCATCAGGTACTCCTTCTAACTTAGTATGATTCAAATTAAGTACAATCCTTTTATTAGCTAAAAATATAATATAAAAACTATAAATGCATAGTCCTTGAGATTTTTTCCTTGAATGTATATTTTCTTATGCTTTCATATTTTTCATAATTCTTTCAATTTTCAGTTACATTTATACTTGCATACTTTTTTATAATTTTAATTAAAAGTAATTTTAATTAAATTATGAAGTCTCTTACATATTGTCCCACTATTCGGATCAAAATCGTATGCTGCAATCTCACGTGTACTTGAATCAATGTAATAGAAAGTATTGTCTTCGATATTCCACGCTAATCCATTACTTATTGAAACAGGGGTTATTTCTGTTTTAGGTTTAAGCGTATCATCAAGGCGATATAATGATCCCTTATCAAGAGCTATCTGTCCATTAATTTCATTCGCCATAGTACCTATTGAAAATATAATTGATAGCCAATATTTATTGCGTTCAAAAAAAGATGCATTTCTATTTATAATATATTTTCAATTTACCAATCCATAATCTTCCAGCTGAATCCGCTTTTCCATCATTAGTTCTTACGTCGCCAGATGTAAGATTACTCAGAACATTGTATGGTGTCACTTTCTGATTTGCATCTGAATTCCAGTTGACTAAAATAACATCTTTTCCACTACCAACTACGAGTTTATTAGGACTATCATGCACAGGTACCACAACACTAACAGGACCGTGGTCTGTGAAGTAGTTTAAGAAATCATAATATTATTTAATGTTAGAAATATAAAATGATGAATTATGTGTGATAGTGATACTTGCAAAAAAAGTTATATACTCTTACCTATGTAAGTGCTGGTTACAACACCTGTCGCAGGATCCAGTCTACGTACGTACTGATTATATATGTCAACAAAGTACAACTTTTGAGCGTCAGAATCCCAGTGAGGACCCTCGGAAAGGCCATAAGCGTCTGTCACTCGCTCTATCTTAATTTTAGGTTTGAGGTGATGATGAGCTTCCCTATAAATAAATAATTGCATATTAAAGTAAAGTAAAGCTTAAAAAATTGATTAGTTGCAGCTTAGGATATGCATTTTACACTTTACAGGAAGTGATATTCACACGCATTATTTTTCTTAACTTTATAAAAATAGCCATTTAATTTTGTATTATTATCCTCAATCGTTCGAATCAGTGAAAAAGTCCTTATTATATGATGCTGATATAAACAAGTGATGGAACATGATCGATCTAAACGAAAGACTATAGAATGATTTTGATCGCACTTTATTAATTTCTATAACAAAAGCATAATATTTAAAAAAATAAAACAGCCTGTTCTTTTCAACTGCACTTGCAATATATTCTGCATTTGAAAGATTTATATATTAAAAAAAAAGAAGAGGAGGAAATTGCAGAGAAAATTGGAAGGAATAAACATGCTCTCTTTGCATTCTTTTGCACTTTTATTCCCCCTTTCGTTTCTTTCTTATCGCGAAGAAAAAAAAGGTGTAGAAAGCGTCCGCAATCTGTCAAAACGAGTTATGCAAAAGCGATATTTACGTTGTCATTTCCGTTCGAAAAACCGAAAGATTGCGAAAGAAATCGAAAACCGAAGGCGAAGAAGCGAAGAGTCGACCTGTCGCGAACTGTCAGAACAAACAGCTGACGAATTATAATTCAGCTCGTGCGCGGCGCGGAACAAGGTAATCGCTCCGATTACGTAAATCAAGTGTTGATTATCCCGACGATGATGATACTGTGTGACAGAAGACGGATGCGGCTATTTATTGAACGCTGATAAGGCCTGGTGCTACTTGAAATCGAAGGGTTATCGATAAATTTGCTTTGTTTCATATTTTACACTTTAAGGCTTCAAACATTCGTTTATAAATAACGACAGTATATTCTAGATGCGCACCGAGGAAAAAAATTGTTAACTTGATTAAATGCGTTCAACTAATTATTTTTTTTTTTAAATTGAATTTTAGTAATTATTTAAGTATTTTAAGTTAAATAGTATTTTATGTTAAATTTATTTAATATGTCGTATATAATTTAATTAAATATTTCAATTATATTAAATGTAAACATTCAATTATAGTAAATGTAAATATTCAATTATAATTTAAATATTTCAATTATATTAAATGTAAATATTCAATTATATTAAATGTATATTAAATATTTCGATTATAATAGTAATAATTGAAAAATAAATTCCCACGTAGCAAAATAATGTCTTAATGACGTAATATGAGGTCATTGAAACGTTATTAAGATGTCATTTGACGTCATTCTGCTAGCTAGATAGTTGGACGTATTCAATCAAGTTAACAACTTGTTTTTTCAATGTGTCACAAAATACATTTCCAAACATATTAAACAAATTATACATATTGAAAAATTCATAATGTGAAGTAATATTTTTCAAAGGTAAAAATATTAAGAAAATTAATAAAGATATCATATATGCTAATAATATATAATAATAAAAAAATATCGCGTTTTTTAGCGTATAATTTAATTTTTTTCTTTTATATGAAATAATGTTATTAATAATGACAAATTTAAAAAAGATATAACTCAATCTTTTTCACACATTAAATACAAAATATTTTAAGATCTTTCTTACAAAAATATGTAGCGGTGACATTAAAAATATTAAATTTTTATATAATTTATATAATTTTGAATTTTTAAATTAAATTAATTTCATATTAAATTTATATAAATATTAAATTTACATTAATTTTAAATTTTTACATAATTTTTGCAGAATACGGATATTATATGGAAACGGATATTATATAGATATCATATGGAAACGTCAAATGTTACGTCCAGCAGATATATTTACGAGATATTAACATTTCTGATGGAATATTGGATATAAATAGCAGTGTTTCTGCAGGCGAAAGAAATATAGGAGACAGAAGAGAAGACGAAGAGAGATTATCTTTATATAATTCCCCTTTTTATCTTTCTCTATCAGATAAAATTATAGTTTAAGTAATTCGTGGAAAATTATGAGTTTTCAACAAGATATTTCCAATGTCACATGATGATTCCAACTATAAAGTCATGATGATGCAGATTTTTGTGCAGAATCTATTTGTGATATTTTTTGATAAGATGTTTACCACCGTTCTTAATAAGTTATATAATTCAAGCGATTTAGTTCAAACGACTTCTGTAATCAAAGTTCAACCGATTAACGGTTCCTCTTCTTTTCTTTTTCTTATTATCGATAACAAACGAAAAACAATTAAATTTTAATTACTTGTAGTTATCTTATTATTGGGACTAAAATCTTCTGGAAATATTTTGAGATAATATTCCAATAAACACAGTCTATAAATAATAATTTGTATTTTGATGAGGCATTTTTTTTATTTTTTTTGCGTTTGATACAGTTTTTATCTGGTAACTTCTAAATATTATCATTACACATAAATATACAACCCAGACAGCATAGAATTAAAAATGATTCATTTATGTAAAAGGATTCTTTTTCGTCTGAGAATAAACTCGAAATTTGTGATATGAAAAATGAATTCTTTTGAAACTTTTTGTGCTATCTGGGAAGCATGCACCATGACGTTATATTATTCCTAGTTTAAACAAAACTATCAAACTAAGCAAATATCATGTACAAATTTGTTTTTTTGTTTCTCACTATTTTAATGTTAAAAGTATCACTTCGCAGCGCATGAGCTGATATTTTTTTCATTAAAAATGCGTGCGCGATGCATCGATTTATGGAAATCCTTTCACTTACCCGCCATGAATGAGAACGACGAGAACGCACGCCAAGGATAGGTATTCGCAAATTATTCTTCTCATGATAGTCTATATATCTCGTATTACTGTCTAACTCGAAAGTAATGCTCTCTCTTTCAGGATAGACTAAAAAGAACGAGTAAAACTTAAACGCACCGACTTATATAGGCGTTCCTACCTTCACCGATTCGGTCGAAACCTGTGAGGGGAGTTGGATATTTTAACGAGAAACGCATTTTGGCGTTAGATAGCATCAACTGATGTAAATTTATTGATAATAATAAATTATTTGGTGTCGCCTTTCTGACAATGATGAGCGAAACTAAATTGCATAAGTCGTGTAATAATTTAATGGTACACGGAAATGTGGGACAGTTTTTAACGTGATCGATATTACTTAACGATAGTAATCTTTGACAAGGAAAGGTTACGGTAATCGATTATGATGATTTATCGTACAGCAAAAATATATCACGCAACCTTTTGTTAACGAGAGGGGAAAAAAAGCTTTACAGGAAATGTTTTATTCTGTATATAGATAATATATAAATTTATATATAAATATATAAGTTAAATAATAATAAAATATATAAAATATTAAAAATATGATAACAAAATAAAAATATAATAATAAAATAAGAAAGAACAAAATAAAAAATATAATGTTAACAAAATAAAGATATAATGATAATGAAATAAGAATAAAATAAAAAAGAACAAAAAAATAAAAATATAATTATAACAAAATAAAGATATAATGATAATAAAATAAAAATAATAATAAAATATATAAAAGATTAAAGATAATATTAAAAATTAATAATTAAGATAATTAGATTTGCTACGTGCCTTTCTTTATTTGTATTTTTAATTTTTTGCGTAGCGAATGATAACAGGAAAAAAATATGCCTAAACGTATTAAACATGCATTACATGAAATACTACTCACTTATACATTGTTTGTTTTTAAATTTACACAAAATAATATATTAAATGCTCGAAAAAGACATTTTTCCGAATCTGTTGCAATCTTATCTATTGCAATCTTAAATATATATTTGATATTATAAGAAAAAAATTGTGTAAAATCTGATGAAATTTACAATTTTATACCATCTAGGAAGAATCGTTGAAAATATCCGGCAACATATATTAATGTATAGTCAAAAATGAATAATTATTATCATATATGTATAATTATATACAAATGCACATAAAAACATGTATTCATGTAGAATAAGATAAAATTAATTATTATAGAATAAGATAAAAAATAAAATTAATTATTATAGAATAAAATAAAATTAATCATTTGCAGCACATTATTTATTACACAAGTTTCTTTGTATAAAATATGAAGCCCTTGACCGATATATACGGATATCCAATCATGCGAGCACTTGGAAGAAAACATGACAGTAAATTACATAATTTTTATTATGCAATAATTTTGATAAAAATATCTCAATATACAAATACTATTTTTATGTAAATATTATTATTTTACTAATAACAATATTTATGTTTTGCAAATAGGTATGTTGCAATATTGTGCACGAATTTTGTAAAAATTTTAAAATGTTTCTGTAAAATACTTCTTGATTTATGTTGTTCATAATCTTCTCTAGGAATACAGTAGGAAAGCAATTTGATATTTATAGATATTTAAGGATATTTGAATAATCACAGCACAACATCGAATGTATAGTTGATTGTATAATATATGAATGCGAACTTACATGGGGCTTTTAACCACACGTACTTTCTTTGTATCTATAATTAAATTCAATCTATAATTAAATTCAATCTATAATAAATTCAACATTGAAAGATACAGCTCGTAAATATTTCCTATCTCTATGCAACCCGTCATACGTTGCTGCAAAAAAGCAGCAGCTTGGGAATCGTGAATTTAATAAAAACTATATCGATAAATAGAATTTTTTTTCGCACGTGAATCAAATGCAATATCTAGTTCAAGCGTAACAAGAAAAATGATTAAAAAAATAAGAAAATCTTTCCTCGAAAAATGATTTGAAAAATAAGAAAATCTCGAACAATCGAAAAAGAACGAGAAATAGGTGGTACGGGTGATCTGAAACACCCTGTACACTTGTAATCGCTACGTCGCGCGTGCACGATAACAAAGGGAGCCCGGGAGCTGATCTGTCATCGCTGACGCGCGAACAGCTGACGCGCGCGCGCGCTCAGCTGACGCGCCCGCCGCGCCATCTGGCGCCGGCGACGACAAGCGCAACGGCGACCGATTGGAAACGTGCCGGCCAACATCATCAGGTCACGTGATACTCGCATATTGATACGTGTCGGGGTGAGCCACGACTCCGCTACGCTTTGCCAGTCGAGCGTATACGCGGCCGCTTTTTCGTCGCTTTTATGACAGAGAAGGAAGGAGCGAGGGAGCGAATTCTCGTGGCAGTGTGATTCTCGTGTGCCTGCGAGAGACGGTCATTCGATTCTTGGTGTTAATCGCGTCGAGACAAGATGGGATGTGAGTATTTTGCTCGGAAATACCCCGGTCGTAGATCGCGTTAATCGTAACCTCTCGCTCGTAACCTCTTTGCTCGTCGCGAAAACATATTGTTGGCAACGCGAATCGCTTGACGTTTAAGCCTGTTCTCGTCTTCGCCCTCTTCGGGTGTCTAAGTCGTCCTTCCTCTTTCTGCTTTCAGTCAAGTTCCTCGAGGTGATCAAGCCCTTCTGCAGCATACTGCCGGAAATAGCGAAGCCGCAACGAAAGGTAAGATCTATTTCTGTCTCTCTCGCGTATTTACAGTTTCGTGTACCGTTTTTCCGAAATTCCTCCGTTTCCCGACCTGTACGAAGCCCGACGAGTGAGATATACCCTACCATCTGTTTATGACATTCATATGCAATGTATAAAAAATATTTCTAATTTAAAGAAGAAATTCTCCTCTGATGTGAGTTTGTTACAACTGATGTTTCTCTACAGATCCAGTTCAGGGAGAAGGTGCTATGGACGGCGATCACGTTATTTATCTTTCTAGTATGTTGCCAGGTAAGTTGATAAGTCGCACTATTGTTCAAAGTTAATTTAAAATTTTATAAGTAACGCTGATGGATAATCTTGTCATTTTCAGATTCCATTATTCGGTATCATGTCTTCGGACAGTGCAGATCCATTTTATTGGATACGTGTGATTCTCGCGTCCAACAGAGGAACATTGATGGAATTAGGTATCTCTCCAATCGTTACTTCCGGACTTATTATGCAACTGCTGCATGGCGCGAAGATTATAGAAGTCGGCGATACGCCAAAAGATAGAGCGTTATTCAACGGTGCACAGAAATGTAAGTTAAGTTTGCTAATTTGATAAAATTTTTTCTGATATATAAATAAAAAGATAAATAAAAATATATAAATAAAAAGATAAATAAAACTGATAAGTAATTTTAATATAAAGATGAGATAGAAGATAAATTGGTTTAATAAATATTAATTTGTTTTCTTAAAAAAATTCTAAATTATGTTTAAAAAACTATAGTTTGAGATTTAACTAAATATAAAACAAAAAATCTATAATTTCATTCAGTCAATTGTCTTTTGATTAAAGGGAATCCAAATAAGTGTTCCAATAAATTAAAACTAATTCTCATGCAGAGAATAAATTTAAATAATGATTTGTATTAGTCCTCTGTGACATTTTTATTTAAATTTTGATATAAAAAATTAAATATGTTTATACTGTTATTAGATTTAACTGTGAAAACATCATTAATATTTGTTTTTTTTTTTTACACAGTGTTTGGCATGGTTATTACTGTTGGGCAAGCTATTGTTTATGTAATGACTGGAATGTATGGAGATCCAACCGAGATTGGAGCTGGAGTCTGTCTTTTGATTATTATCCAATTGTTTGTTGCTGGACTTATTGTATTGTTGTTGGACGAGCTTCTCCAGAAAGGATATGGATTGGGCAGTGGAATATCTCTCTTCATCGCTACTAACATTTGCGAGACTATTGTTTGGAAAGCATTTTCACCAGCTACAGTTAACACTGGTATGATTTTATTCATTATCAGGGAAAGATTTTGTAATGAACAGAAGTATCATTCTTTTGGCAATTCAAACTCTTTAATATATATTAATTGAATTTATATATATATATATATATATATATATATATGTATGTATATATATATGTTTTTTTATGTCTAATAGGTCGTGGTACAGAGTTTGAAGGAGCCGTAATCGCTTTGTTCCATTTGCTGGCCACCAGACAAGACAAGGTCCGTGCTCTCCGAGAAGCATTCTACAGACAGAATCTTCCAAATCTGATGAATCTTCTCGCCACCATTCTAGTGTTTGCTATTGTTATCTACTTCCAAGTAAGTTGAAGAATATTGAAACTGAAAACCATAAGTTTTTGTTTGTTAGATCAATTATTTTTATTATTAAACTATTCAAAACATATACACTAATTTCTAAAGTTTGTCTACACATGTTTCATTGTGATAATGATTATATTGAAAGGTACATATTATTTATAGGGCTTCCGTGTAGATCTTCCGATCAAATCTGCTAGATATCGCGGTCAATACAGCAGCTATCCAATCAAACTATTTTACACCAGCAATATCCCAATCATCTTGCAATCAGCCTTAGTGTCCAATCTATACGTCATCTCTCAGATGTTGGCTGTCAAGTTCCAAGGAAATCTTATAGTAAATCTGTTAGGCGTTTGGTCGGATGTCGGTGGTGGTGGTCCAGCCAGATCGTATCCAGTCGGCGGATTATGTTATTATTTATCACCACCGGAATCGGTCGGCCACATCGTTCAAGATCCTGTCCATGCCGTACTCTATATTCTCTTTATGCTTGGTTCATGCGCCTTCTTCTCCAAAACGTGGATCGAGGTTTCTGGAAGCTCGGCAAAGGATGTTAGTACAACATTCCTTGAGAATAAAGTACATAAATCTTTTGTAATATAATATAAAAATTAATAACATGTCATTTGTAGGTCGCCAAACAATTAAGGGAACAGCAGATGGTAATGCGAGGCCACAGGGACAATTCTATGATTCGCGAATTGAATCGGTATATCCCAACTGCCGCAGCGTTTGGTGGATTGTGCATCGGTGCGCTCTCTGTGCTGGCAGATTTCCTGGGCGCGATTGGTTCTGGTACCGGTATCTTGCTCGCTGTCACCATCATTTATCAATATTTCGAAATTTTTGTCAAGGAACAAAGTGAAATGGGTGGCATGAGCACGTTACTTTTCTAAGCTTAGTTCAACTATAGATTTGAAAAGTAAACTTTTTTTAATTCTGAAGAACCATATAATTTATTGTAAGAGTTTGGCAGAGTTTGTGTGTATGTCGGTGTATGTATGTGTGCGTGTGTGTAAAAGTGTGCGTTATGTATGTCAAGCTCACAGGATGTAGACATACTACTAATCGAAGATTTTCCTCCCCCTTTTCGCTCGTTATACATAAAGTCGCACATATTTAACTTACTATTGATACGTTGTTGATTCCATGCTCAAAAGGTTATAACTATCAGTGACTTTGCAAACAAATAAAAATCTACATGTGCTTCTTTTGTAGGATACATTAACGTGATTATTGAAACACACGATATATTTTGGAATCTGGAAAGTAATACAGCTATGTTACATCTATGAGATCTTGTTCTTGTGTTGAGAGAGCATACTCTTTATTTTTACATTAAACATTATTAATTCTACGCCACGTGTCAAACTGTACAAAACATCAGCCTAATGAAGGCAAGAACGTACATACATTGACAGAGGATAGAAGATAATAACTCAGACATACAACGGTTAAAACGCTCGCAAAGTCTAAGCGCGAAAGATATCTCGCGATCAATAATATCTTTCGTACAACGAGCAATGTGTACATAATATAAGAAAGTAATTAAATATTTTCAACATTTTTTACTAGCGTTTTTTGGGCTCTGCTACATGAAGAAGAGCCACATGAAGACTCAATTGCATATACATACGAGTAAAATCGTGACATTTATATTATAATTGAACCTATATATGATTATGAATAGTCATTTCAGTCAGGACGAGACACCCACCTAGGGTATTCGTACAGCAATTCGAACAGCGTTCGCTCATCTTGGGTACCATTCATTCCTGTATCGATAATAATATGAAATAAGTTAATATTTTTTCACACACACATATATATGCGTATATGTGTGTATGTATTTAGGAGAAAAGAAGAAAATGTGCTTTTATAAATATTAAAACATCTTTTTTTTTTCGTCTTCCTTGTTTCATCTCTCCTCATTTTGTTGTCCCTCGACATTTCATCGTATTTCGTCGGTTATTTGTACGCGTGATATCTCATTTCATCGTTCATTTAATAATAATGTCGTCCGAGAGTCGCATAGAATAAATCTCTATATCCATTAATTGTCATTAATCGAGAATAATAAGACACACACGTGATCGGTTATGCCATTAAGAAAAAAAAATAAGATTCATGTGTTATGTAATATGTTATATACATAAATCAGAATGTGTATACAAGAAACTAGTAAAAATTACTTCCTATTTTATACAGTGTGTAATTGTGTCGTTTTCTACTTTATACATAGAATTGTTATAAGAGATATACATGAATTATAACTATTGTTATAGAATATCAATATGTAAACAGGAAGAAGAAAAAGGAATACTAAATGTACTTACTGTTAATGGTGTACTTACTGCCAATACATGAAACTTCCAAAAATATTTAATTAAATTTAACATATATTATTATTTTGAAAAACATTTTTAATATTAAATAATATAAATATATTTCTTGTATTTTTTTCTTATAAAATAGATGTACATTTTGATATTTTTGATATTTTCAAGCATGCATCTTGATTTAGTAAAATTTTATAAAGTTTTATATCCGTTATATATATGAAGTACTTATATATTTATTGTTTTCTATATACATATATGTAAATGTGTGTATATGTATGACAATACAATTTCAAATTACAGTGTTATTTTTATCAAGAGAGTATTTACAAGCCTTATGTAATTACACATTAATTAAAATCGATTTAGATCTCGTCAGAGATGTACTCTCTCTTTCTCTCTCTCTCTGCATATTACTTATTTTCATTATAAAATAATGTCGAATACAGAGGTCCCAAAGTATGAATATTTGCCAGCAGTACTAGGCGAAGAGTGTCTGTAAAGCGTGCATTGGGCGATGATGTGTCGATGTCCCTCCAAGCTATATTGGCACCTTCGCTCCGCGTGAATAACGCCGGAGACGGCACATTTTCGCGCATGTACGCCCACAAGCACTCCCTCATTATCGTATTTATCTGCAATGCAAATTGGAACCGCTTATCAAGTGTATTTTATTGAAATATTGATTGTAAACTTAAAAATATACCTGGTGTGGCTGTAAAACAGGTAGAATATCCCTAATACTCGCCAATGGAGGCGGTAATAATTGACCGAGTGCCATTATAGTGACGAGCGAGACGCCTTCCTCCGTATTCCAATTAGCCATCACGGTTGCAGTGATGCCTCTCAGTAAAACGGAACAATAAGCCAACGCTGGTCTGTACCAGGCGGTCAATTCTAGCAACGTCCATAGTAAAGGTACCTCCTTAAATTTGCGACGGATTTGCAAATCCCTCTCTATCGTCACCTGTCACACAATCGGAATCATTATTTTATTCCAACAAATATCTTAAAGAAGGTGAATAATGAGAATTACTTTTGTAAACTCTTCGTCGGGCCATGGAAGACCATTGTACATAACGTCGGGGGACACCAATTCGACCAGCAACAAACTGACCATCGTCAGAGCGTCCAAGTTGACGGGGTATCGATCTGACTCCTGGTTGCTGCAACAAGCCTAGAAAATACGTTAGACTGTTTAACGCGATATTCGACCTATCAGATGCATAATAAAGAAGAAAAGAGAAAGAGGAAGAATAAGAAGAAAAGAGAAAGAATAAGAAGAAAAAAGAAAGAGGAAGAAGGGGAGAAAAGAGGAGAAAAAATGAATAAAATAATAAAATAGTTAATTTTAAATTAGTTAATTTTTTTATATAAATTTGTTTATATAATTTAAATATAAATAATTTGTTAAGATTTTATTTATTTGTTAAGATTTTATTAAATTTAAATAATTTAATAATAAATATTTAATTTAATATTTAAAATAATTTCATTAATGTGAAAATTAATAATAGAGAATTAATAAAAATTATTAATAAAAATTAGTGTCAGCAATTGCGGTTAAACTAAGAATAATAAATAAATTTTTTAATTAACAAAATATCAGATGTAATATCAGATATGATAATTGCTGTCGAATTTTTCTTTACCTTTATAACGTCTATTAACAACATTTTGTTTAAGGCTATAGTTTCCCTATTAATCGAATTCTCCGGCGGTAATTTTCGCGGACCATGTCCTATTACGCCGGCGTGAAATACCGATGAATGTCGCTGTGCTAACATGGTGCTCGTCACCTGCAAATGAAATCATTTAAATTCCACATGTATTGATATATCAAATCAATTCAGTATCAATGAAATATTGCAACATGTATCAAATATCTTTCACAATAGATTTAATTTTATTTTTAATGAAAAGAATTAGTTAAAAAAAAACACTAAATTGTCAATTTAATAATATTTTGTAATATTCTATATTTTAAATATTTTTTTATTCCTCATATAATGCCTATATTATGAATATTAATTTTTATTTCATCTTTTTTATTTTTATTCTTTTTATCTACTTTAATTTATTTTTTTTTATATCCCTAATCTAACTTTAAAATAATCAAATATTAAATTTTATAAATGAAACTGAATATGGTAATAAACTTATTATAAGATTCAAAACGTTTTATAAGATGTATATTTTACAATTATATTTTTTATACAAACTTGTTTATGATTCTGATGCAACAATGACGTCTCCTCGAAACGAGGCTCAAATTTCTCCTTTGCACCAAAGTACTTTGCCTGCTCGTTATCGATACTATTCTCTAAAATCTCTCTGAGTGCCAACACACGCGCGCAAGGAGAATAACACGTCAGATCCTTCAATAAGTGGCAAACCATCTTCACTCCTTGTTCCTTCTTTATGATATCTAGGAATAAGGAACAAAGTGGATTATCTTATATGTTGTTACTTTGATAAATGAAAGACGTTAAACAATTTTATTTACTTGTTTGTGCAATGGACAAGAAGAAATATTGTATGACTGCTCTCGTCAATTTCAGCACGAGTTCCACATTGAAAATATAATCCTTTTCGGACGTGCTCAATAGATCTAACAGGCTAACGATGTCGTTTGCCAAATCAAAGTTGTCGGTTCTCATCAACAGGGAAGATATTTGATACAAATTAGATCTAAGAGCTCTAGTAATCATCCTCGATTGTAATATCGCCGCTTTATTCGATTTCTCCCACCTAAATTAAATATATAAAATGATTATAATTTTAACAAATTAATAAATTGATGAAGAATTATTATAATTTTAATATTATGCATAATTGTGCTGAATATTATTGACACTTGCTTCAACATTATAGTGAGATTTTTAAACAACTGTCTCGAGTCCTCCTCATTTATGACATTTTTATAGTATATCTCTCTAAGCGCCTGCTCTAAGATCTGTGTAAGATAATCGTGACCAGCAAGAATGTTTTCGGTTCCAGATTTGTTCGCAGGAAACAGAACAATGTTGTTGGTGATGAGACGTATCAGGGCTGCGAGATGAAACGTTGTTGGCGCCTTCACCAGCATATGAGACGCCATAAAAACGACTATGTTTGGATTCTGGCTCCTCAGGAAGCACAACAGTCTAACAGCCGTTTGCACCCGCAGCGGGTTGGAATTCAATAACATTGGCACAATCAACGATATCTCCTGTTTGATAGAACTCAGAAGAGCGATATTGGCGGACTGCGGTCCGTGCGTCTCAGCAAGAGATCAATTTCTTGTAAAATCAGCTCCAGAATCTCCCGACAAACGTTCTTCACGTTTTGCGCCGCGTTAACGCTGTGATAGCCGACATTGCTCGTGTTCAAACTCGTGTCTAGCAATATATTGATTATTTGCGATGCGCCCTGCTCGCATCCCAATATCAAGTGCACAGTCAGGTCTATCAATGCTGCTGATTGATTGTCAAAGTATTTACACCAATCTGCCGCGAACAATGCCAGACGCGGTATGATGTCGGGTCGCACTGTAATAAAAATTTACATGGTTAATCGTATAATTCCCTGAGAAAATATAATTTTTATTAGACTCACATGTTTGTAACACATTGTTGGTCATCGCTTTCAAAAGAGTCTGCGAAAGCGAGGCTAGATTCAAAAGGAAAGGCACTGTGGCCAATTTCTGCTTCTTAATATCCTCATCAAGATTCACATCCTCATCCAAACTCCACTATAAGAAAATTATCGCACAAATGTATCAATAAATTCTTATACAAGTCAGAGACTAAAATATGCAAGCATTTATCAGGACTTGCCTGGAACAAATCCAACAGTGCTTTTCTAATATCTTGAAAATGACTACCCGCCAAGTGTCCCAATATGCCAACAACGGAATTTAACTTTGGGTTCTTAACGTTATGCTCGTAGCCCATGGCACAAAAGTCCTTCAATCCACACGATAGCACCCTAGTAATCACAGTATTTGGAAAACAGCTTCCCACATGAGCGACCACCCAATCAAAATAGGGACTGTGCAGAACGCTGGTGTCTAACAATGCTTTGATGCAAGACTCTGTGTCGGAATGCATGAGGCATTGCAAACATTGCGCCGTAATGTCTATCAGAGTTCGTGTCGCCCGACAAGACATCCACTGCTGCAGAAAGTCATTGATGCCAGCGTCGACAGGCAAATTGCGACGTTTCGAGTAATCGGAGGATACTTTGCCTGCGAAAGAAACGTCACTTAAAATTGTACTCTGCTTCCATTCAACTGTACATGAAATATATACCGAGTAAGTCCAACGACCAGGCTGATATGATAGGTGCCCAAGCTTCTGGGTTCCCATTTATGAAGCTGCTGAGAACGGCGTGAATCTCCACTATGATACCCTCCTCGGGTATCGGTATATTTTGATTTGTCTGCAAAAATTGCAATTTTTACTACTATTGTTCACATCAGGCGTGTATAACGGGTGTGAATAAAATTCGAATCAACTGATACCTCGATCTGACGAACGTATTTCGACACCGCGGTGAAAAATACGCTGCAAAAGTACTCGAGGACGGCGTCCCTTGCCGCGGGCACATTTTTCAGCAGAAACAAGGCCGTACGCGTCACGTCTTGCGTGTTTGCGCTGTGGGAAGACCTGGACACGGCGCCGGAGATAAATTTTCTAACCTCGGTCAGGATGTCCTGGGGCGATAGAGTCACCGTATTATGCAGCATCCTCAAATTATCAGTAGTGATCCTTCAATCGCAGGACATCGATCAATTATATTTGCATTCCTGATCAATTCAGTCAATTTAAATTCATCATACGACGTGTCAAAAATACCGTGGCACTCTCGATTGAGAGGTTATGTTATATTGTAATATACAGGGTGTTCAAAAAATCTTCAACGAATTTCTCACTATCCTTGATTATATTACTTCTTGCATAAAATAATTATTATTATAATAATATATAATAATTATTAAAAAATATTATATAGTAATTATAATAATAATTACTAAAAATATTATTATATAATAATTATAATAATTACTAAAAAATATTATTATATAATTATAATTATATAAAAAAAGAAAGAATAGTTTAATACTTGAATATAAGATTAAAAACATATATTTAAGAGATTATAATATTATATAAAATGTTTTCTTTCAACTAACTTATATATATTTTAGACATGTATAACAAGGAAGCAATTATTCTTGAGAGTAAAGGCCAGTCTTCAAATTATGCTTCAGATCATAGAATGTAAATATACAAATGTAAAAACATATAAATTAGAGTATAAATTAAAGTATGCTTAGTCGTTGCACAAAGAATGTCTCAACGCCTCTTCTTCTTCTCTTGTTTGCGCGGCCGATGAGGTCTTCTTGGCGTTACTTGAGGACTGTTTTCAGAACATTCTACGTCGCTTGGGTCATCCTGCAATTATAACAATTATATTATTATCATAGAAGGCATGAACGACAAATTATATCAAGTCAACAACCTAATATAATCATAAAATGATACCTTTAAAGCTGCCACGCCATCAGATGGACCTGCCTGATATATCACTATGGACAACAAGCAGATAATTTGGAACACTGCGCCGACATAGAGGCCAAATCTTAACAATTGCTCAAACAGAGTCTCCTCCGCTGGCAGTAAAAGGCGTTTGAACTGTGGGTCTGTGTCTGCCATTTCTATATGTGCAAAAAAATACAAGTTAGACGATAATTTTCACTTGTATTAGATGAGGTAGAAATACAAATCAAATGATAATTTTATTTATATTACATGAGCTAAAGTTTCTTATAAAGTAAAAAAGAAAATATATTTGTAAATCATATTTAAATTGTACAATTGTATTTTACAAATGTATTTTACAAATGTATTTTATATATGGAACAAATGTATAAAATAATTACTTTTCATCAAACAAAGTTGCTATAAATATCATTATAATCTATTATAATATTCAAATATTATTATATTATTATTTAAATTGGGACAAATGTATAAAATAATTACTTTTCATCAAACAAAATTGCTGTAAATATTATTATAATCTATTATAATATTCAAATATTATAATAATATTATTATCTATTATGATATTTAAATTATAAAAAAAATATAATATTATTATAATAATAAATTAATAATATTAGAATGAAAAAGTTATTACTTCAACTACAGCGAAATATCATATCTCGTTGATTCGCGAATTTAAGATTTTCTAGACGCACTATTATCTTTTCCAATTTTTTCTACCGTGCCCCGGACTTTATTTCATTCTCTTCTCTCCTCATGCAGGGATCTCTCGCGCGATTCTTTCGAACGGTCCAGCATATCTCGCCGAAACAAGGGCAATTCCCGATCGGCGATACCTCCTCGCGATCAATCACATCGATACTCGACGATGTTCCGCGACTGTTTACAGGTGTTGGACGGGATACACATGTACGAGGGGGCGAGGAAATCAATAACAGGCGACCGGCGATCGCCGCGTTTCGCGCGAAGCGGCAAATAGTGCCAACATTATACGCCTACGCGCTCCGCTTTTTTTTCCGGCAATTTCGACGAAGCGCCTCGACCTTTTTTCCTTTCCTCGGGATCGTCGTGATTTTCCTCCGCACATCGCGCGCCGAATCAACCCGAACCCCCTCGGCGCTCTTCGGCCTCGCGTCTCCCCCCGCTTCACTCCTCGCCCATCCCTAACGTTGGCAGCGCGTGGCGATCGCGCTTGCGGCGCGCGCCGCCAGATGGCGCGGCGCTCTGACAGATGGCGCGCGGGCGCCGCGCGCCATCTGTCGGCACCGCGCGCAGGCTCGGCCAGCTGAGCGCCTGTCATTTTGGCTCGAGTTTTCGAGGGAGGCTCGCGAGTGATCCCGTCGTTTTATCGAACGCGCGAATCTCTCGGGTCCCGGATTCGCGTCGCGTTACTCTTAATCGAGAAAAAAGAAGCGAATCCGAATCCTCGACGGGAGAGCGGAAGGATCCGGGGGTGGGGGAGATTTTCGAATCTCGCGGGGCGCGACCGAGGCGCCGGAAGGCGAGCTGGGTTCGAGGCTCGGTCGCTCGCGAGTCCGTGGATGTGAACCTTTGTTTTGTACATTCGCGCAAAAGTAATGGCTACCGTCTTCAGTTTTCGATTAATGTTTTCCGCGGAGATCCCGGATCCCCGTGTCTCCCGCGGCATTTAATAACGCGAGATCGGCCCGCGCGACGCCCCCGCGTCGGCCGCGATGCGCGCGGTATCCGTGCACCAGCTGTTCCGACTGCCTTAGTGTCATCTTGGTCGAAAAATGCCTGTGTTTACATCCAAGATACAACCGAGCCTCTGCGTTCCTGTCACATTCAGGTAAGCGACGCTCCCGCGAGTCGCGACTGTCCCTCGGTTTCGCGGACCCGGGTGCGCGAGGAGCCCCTCCGCGAGGGAAACGCGACGGGAATAGGTCCTCGTCGACGGGACGTGCTCGTCCCCTCGGTCGGCGACGACGACGATCGTCGTCGTCGCTCATCCTTTGCTCCTCGTCCTGGTCTACAACAGTGTCCGGGGTCGCGAGTCTCGTCGTCCCGTCTGCCTCGATCTGCCCCGGGGACCGGGAAATCGCGCGAGTGTCCGCGAGATCGCTCCCGAGAAGCGAGTCCGTCGTACTTAACCAAAAAAAAAGTTTCGCCCCCGAGGACGAAGGGGAGGAAGAGCAGCGGGGGAGAGAAAGCCTCGGTCGCGTCGTCATCGAGGAATATCGCGGATGAATCCTGGACGTGGACGCAATTTTTCGTCCCGGATGGTGGCAACAATGCCTGGTAAGATGATGAGCGAGGGCAGGTCAGGCACGCACTTGGTGTCGCGAGATGCTCGCATTTTCCTCCTCGACTCGGGCGGCTTCTGAGGAGACGACTCTCGGCATCTTCCTCGGGTATCCCGTGACGGGAAATCCGTTGGAGAGCCTCTATCATTGACTGCACAGTCTGGACTGAACAATCTTCAAATCTTGTACACATTGCTGGTGTCTGTTACATTTTCCTGCCTTCTTTCCTTCTTGAAAGGACCCCACGCGATATGTATCTCTCGACATGCAACCCCCAGACAACACAAGTGGACGTGTCCTTCCTTGTATTTGTTCTATTCATTTGTTCAATCAAGTATTGTGTTTTATCCATCAGTTGGTTTTAGGTGCCTCTTGTCGATTCCAAGTCCAATGAAGGTTTCCTCCCTCGTGGCAGTAGTAGAACGTATCAGTCGACCTAAATGAAAACAAAACCATCTGCTGTGCCTCTCTGGAGGAGGCATTTAAGTCTCTTTGGGTAGACTAACTAGATAGAGAGGTGAGGAAGCTAAGTGCAAGGAACACGAGTGCCACCGCAGTGGGAATGATAACAGTTTATTGGTGTATAAAGAGCTGTTTTATTGCAAGAGCACAGGTAGACTCGAATCCCACAGCTACAAGGACAAATCTTTCACCAAGTCATCGCGACTCAAAATATGTACAAAAGCATCCCGGATGTGTCGAGTCTTCAAACATACGTATTTATCCAGAGATTTACCATCATCCCGATCAAGACTTGTCAACAAACTAGCGTCAGGATCGAGTAGCGGCGCGCGAATGATTACATTAAGGCGGCTTTACATCGCATTAGGGCGGATTTTCAAGTGGAATTATTTTTCCGAAACGCAATAATCCCGGGCCATCGCTTTCCCTTCGCAGCGTTTGAGGATAGATGTCGGTTCGAGTGACGTGATCCATTTCCAGCCTCGTCCGAAAATCGAGATCCCGCGGATCTAACCTAAGCGGATTAGAGGAAACGACGGAATCGGGAATTATTTCACGGCGGGAATAGAAAAATCTTGCCAGGCGGCGCTCGTCTCGCTCATGATGGCGGCCATGTTGCCGATTCGCCCTGCCCGTCCCCCCCTCTCTCACCCCCCGTCACCTTCCACCCCCTCCCCCGCGCACGCGTGCGATGGCCTCTCACCGTTGTCCACCTTTTACAGGATCTCTTCGCGAGAGAGTGCGCGATTCCTTCGCGTAAACTCTCGTGAAATGTACTCGTCGTCTATTTTCCCTCTCGTCGTCGCTCGTTCTTATTTTCTCTTTCTCTCTCTCTCTCTCTTTCTCTCTCGCCAAGTTTCCTCGCATTTCTTGCCGCTACAAAAGCGTACCCCTTCGGCGTTAAATTTACCCTTTAGCGTGCGGAGGATTAGCATGGAAACATGTATGTTTGAGGAAGAATTTCAAGCGCTTTTTTAACATATGTTTTCCCCGAGATGACAGATGATGATAGAAAAAAATTCGGCGATATTCAGGATGCTTCTCTCATTACGCTTTTAATGATTTGAACAAAAAAGCTCTTTTTTATGGTCAAATAAATTTGTAACAATTTGTAACAAATTTGTAACGATTTATAACATTTTATAACAAATTTGTAACAATTTATAACAAATTTTTAACAATTTATAGTGATTTATAACAAATTTATAACAATTTATAACTAACAATTTATAACAAATTTATAACAAAGAGAGCTTTTATTAGAGAGCGAAAAATCAAAGTGGATAATGAAATTAAAAAAAAATAAGGATATCAATTATCTGTCATCTCGACACTGACTACTTTTCACGAAAAATATAGGAATATTACACGAATGCAAATATTATAATCACGCGTGAAAAATAATAGAATAAAACCGACGACATTTTTTGACGAATTGAGAGAAAATTAAATTTTCCCGGACGCGATTTAAAAAATTTTGCCCGTGATTGAGGCTCGAAAAAAAATTGATTTTCAATTATTCTCTTTAAATTATTTTTGACGCGTAATTATAACATTTACATCTGAAAAATCCCGTCCTTCCCCGTCGATTCCGCCGCGGAATTTCGCTCGGCGTGAGATTTGTCCGCGAAATGTTGGCCACGCTCACGCCTCATCCACTCCTACCCCGGATTTACATCCGCGCAGATCTATATTCCTATTTTTAGACAAGCAGCGCGCACCCGAGCCGGGTCTACTCCGAGCCCCGGTGCCGCCGGAAGTGAAATATTAAACAAGACGGCGCGCTGTCTATCCGCGCCGTAATCGTCGTTTTAGCTTCGCCATTGAAGAATCTAACGATGTCGATTCGTATTTTTTTTTTTTTTAACCATCCTTCCAATCGATCTGGAAAATAATTAATTTAAGATAATAGTAAATTTAAGAATAAATAATTTTAGAATAATTAAGAATATAAGAATAATAATTAATTTTAAGAATAATTAATTTTAATTGATTATTAAAAAATCGCCGATTTCTTCGCGATAATTTTCATAATTTAAATTCTTCGATAGGGACTGATCTAACGATGTCGATTCGCCCTTTTTTTTTATCATCCTTCCAGTCGATCTGGAAAATAATTAATTTAAAATAATAATAAATTTAAGAATAAATAATTTTATAATAATTAATTTTAGAATAATTAAGAATATAAGAATAATAATTAAGTTTAAGAATAATCAATTAAGATTAATTATTCTTAAAATTAATTACATATTATTCTTATATTCTTAATTATTCTAAAATTAATTATTATAAAATTAGTTATTCTTAAATTAATTATTTTCCAGATCGACTGGATTATTAACCAGATCGACATGATTATTAACAAATCGCCGTGATTTCTTCGCGATAATTTTCATAATTTAAATTCTTCGATAGGAACTGATCTCGTCATCGCCAAAGCGTGGAAATTAATTGGTCGATCTCGTGCTATCGCTCCGAGTGCGTTCGATTAATGCGCTATTGATTTGCCCGATTCTATTACGCGTCGTGCATCCATGCACGAATCAATTATCGATCGGTTTATCCGAACCCGTAAGCGCTGCTTTCACAGGTACTATGAACGTCAATTTGCGAGCTGTGTTTCGCAACGTCGATTACGTTTTTTTTTTTTCATACGCAACGGACCGGAGAGACGGAACAGCGAAATATTTTTAATCGAAGCGTATTGCGCGTTTCAATGAAATTTGCACACATTTGTCGCGTAACCAAATTTTGCGACACCAAGTTGGCTCGAAACGCGAAATTTTTGATAGAGCGAAATCAATTTCGAGCGAGAACGATTAAAGTTAAAAGTGGATAGAAGATGCAGAATTTCGTGCAAAATTGCTACTTGATGCGCACTTTATACACACCCAGTATATTATAAAAATAATGCACTGCAGAGATGCCAGTTGGAGACGAGCTCTCATTAAAATTGACTCTGGAATTGATCCGAGCGCGAGATAACGCGATCGTTATATTAGTATCTTATTTTTTGTAAGTAGAAAATTCATGCGATACGATATATCGACGGCAAAATCGTCTCTGCGTGGGCGAGTGGCCGGCGATGGTGTTGGTCGCGAGGTGAAATCGTATCGACCGCGAAGGAAAGGAAGTCGCGTGAACTGAACGAACAATACACACACAAATACATAAAGTCAGAGATTAGACACTCTTTGAATTTACAATTTCTGTACAGCTCACGAGAAAGAGAATAACATTAATATTATATTGCTATTATGTAACTAGATGAAAACCCAGCTGAGAATATTATTATCAAAGCATCCATGTAATCCTGTTTTTTGGCGAATAGAATTATTCGGAGTCTCCTCTGACATAGTTTATTATTTCCATTTTTTATAAATAATTTATAAATTAAATAAATAATTTCTAAATTAAATAAATAAATTAGAAATTAAATCAATAATTTCTAAATTGAATAAATAAATTAGAAATTAAATAAATAATTTCTAAACTAAATAAATAAATTTATAGAGGAGTTAATTATAATATAAAATTAAATACATAAAAGTCAAATTAAATGAGTTAAGTGAGACGACACGATCTCTGTCTCAGTCTCTAGCATTTCGACATCAGCAGCAGCGCTCGAAGAAGAGGTGGCCGCGAAGGGCATCGCGTTTCCCCCCTTTAACCTTAACCCGGGCCGGGTTTCGGCGGGCGATCGATAGGCTGCATTCTCTCCGTCATCGCCGCCGTGTGGATCCTAATTGCGGCGCGATTGACTTTTAAACCCGGCACCGTGCATAATTCATGAGTCATGCAAATCCCAATCAACGCGCGTCGCTTTGGCCCCGTTAATCCGATCCCTGATCCGTGATTGGCCGATTCGGTTAGCTAGCGGTCGCGTGTAAGTTTCGCGAATTTATTTTCTCGCAATCCTCTACTCATTATTTTACGGGCACGTGACGTTTGACGCGAGAGACGGAGGGAGGATCTTCCTTTTCCGCAAAGATTGACAGATAAACGTCAAAGGGAAGCGACCTGACTTACGTATTTAATTTTATATTATTATTAACTCCTCTATAAATTTATTTATCTAATT